CTGTTGCGCGGTCTCCTTGGAGTAGCCGCCTTCGTCCACGTGTGCCTCTCACCTCACAGCAGCTGCACGACTGGTACGGTCGCCGTCAGGGTCGCGCTTCTGGAGCTCGGGGCTCTGTCGCTGGAGGTACTTCTGCTGACGTCATTGGAGCTGGGAGTGGTGCTGGTCCCGGAGGTGCTCGTACTGGAGGTATTGGAGCTGCTGGGGCTGGAGGTGCTGAGCTTGAGGGTGCTGCTGCTGGAGACACTTGTCAAAATGATAGCAAGATTGGTTAGGTTGATTGGGCCTAGGCTTAGTAGCCTAGGCCAAAGGAGGTCGAGATGGTTGGAGCCAAGGAGGCGAGAGTCGAGAGAATGAGAAGGAATGATTTCACTATGGAGAGGTTCACAACATATAGGGCAGGACAAGGGGGGGTACACCACCAAGCAGGATATCAAGATAACTACACTAACGCTAGACCTACATGCAGTTATAACAGCATAATTCTGACATCCCCCCGTAACTGCATGCAGGAATAGCTAAGTGCAGAACACAACCTGCAGGGGTACACCTCGAACAGAGAAAACAGCAACAGCAGGCAAGGTAACACAGTAGGTACAACAGCAAAGGGGCAGGCACTCCTGCCACTCCTTCACTCTCCTCCCCCCCCCCCCCCCCACCTCAGAGGGACGGGGGGTTGGATGGTGTCACACCCGCCACCCACATGCCACTCCCCTGGCTCCCCCACACCCTCACACCCTCCCCCCAGCGGCAGCTGCAGCAGTGGGAACGAAAGGAGGAGGAGGGGAAGGGGATCACAGACACCCACACCCCCATACCCGCCACCTCCATACCCTCCCCCCCACGGCTGCACGCGCAGCAGGAAGAAGAAGGAGGAGGGGGGGGGGGGGGGGGGGGGGGGTGGCGGGGAAGAAGCCGCCCCACGTCCACAGAGGGGTGGCGCACAGGGAAGGGCAGGGGCGGCTGCACCGAGGGCAGGCGCGGGTAGGGTAGGGGCGGCTGCACCGAGTGCAGGCGCATGTGAGGCTGGGGCGGCTGCTCGAAGGCAGGCGCGAGGTGAAGCAGAGGCGCCGTCGCGGGCGCCAGGGGCGGATCCGCAGCGGCCCAGGGCACCGTCGCGGGCGCCAGGGGCGGGTCCGCGGCGGCGCAAGGCACCGTCGCGGGCGCCAAGGGCGGGTCCGCGGCGGCTCAGGGCACCGTCGCGGGCGCCAGAGGCGGGTCCGCGGCGGCGCAAGGCACCGTCGCGGGCGCCAGGGGCGGGTCCGCGGCGGATAAGGGCACCGTCGCGCGCCACGGGGCGCACGACGGGCAGGCAGGCAGGCAGGCAGGCAGGTAGACGCCGCGCGCCCGGGGCGCACGGCGGACAGAAAACCGCCGTGCGCCCCGAGCACACGGCGGGCAGAAAATCGCCGCGCGCCCTAGGCGCGCGGCAGGACGACATGTAGCGGAAGCAAAATGGTGGGCCCGTTAAGGAAGGCAGCAAGAAGGTTCCTGCTCCGAATACCATGTCAAAATGATAGTAAGATTGGTTAGGTTGATTGGGCCTAGGCTTAGTAGCCTAGGCCAAAGGAGGTCGAGATGGTTGGAGCCAAGGAGGCGAGAGTCGAGAGAATGAGAAGGAATGATTTCACTATGGAGAGGTTCACAACATATAGGGCAGGACAAGGGGGGGTACACCACCAAGCAGGATATCAAGATAACTACACTAACGCTAGACCTACATGCAGTTATAACAGCATAATTCTGACAACACTGAGGCTGGAGACCTTGGGACTGGAGGTGCCGGTTCCGGGGGTGCTGCTGCTGGTGGAGCTGGTCCTGGAGGAGCTGGAGCTGAGGGTTCTGGAGCTGCTGGAGGTGCTGGGGCTGCTGGGGGTGCTGGAGCTGCTGGTGCTGGTAGCACTGCACAGCCGCGCCTGTTCTTTACTCCACCGTCGCCGTCGTCTCAGCCACCGTCTGACTCTGTGCTTCGCCAGGTTCTTAGTCTCCCTTCGTCTTCTGGTCTTCCGTTACAGCCTGGCTCACCGCTGCCTGCTCCTTCTCCTTACACTGAGCAGACAGGGGGTCTTACTGAGCGTCGTGAGCCTGCGTTGCGTCCTGTCTCGCCTGTCCGTTCTGGTCGTTCCGGTTGTCGTGTTCCTCATTCGTGTCAGCCGGCTGTCCCCGGCACCCACCTTGTAGTCCGTCGTCCTTCCTCTCCTCCGCAGAGTGTTCTCCTGCCGTCCCCTCCTGCGTCTTCTCTGCCTACCGTTCCTGAGCCTGAGTCTGACCGCGCTCGTGCTGCTCACCCTACTGTCACGCGTCTGCTAGCCACTGTTGTCACTGACCCGTCGTTTGAGTCTACTGCTGCGTCTGCCTTAGTCGCTGAGCTTGTTGACTTTGCTGTTGCCTGTCGTCTAGACTACGCTGCAAGTCTTGTTCCTGAGTCCGAGTCTGTCTGTCCTCCGTCCGTCGGGGGTGAGTGTGCTCTTGGCACGGACGTTCTTGAGGACAGGCAGGAGGACCTTGAGTGTCTTGCAGCCACTGCGCCTCATCTCGTGTCCATGCTGCTTGCCCCTGAGGGAGACCCGGATGCTCCAGACATCCCGACCCCGCGCTCTTACGCTGAGGCGATCGTGGGTGAGTACTCCTCTCAGTGGCAGACAGCCATGGACGCAGAGATGGCATCCTGGAAGTCCACAGGCATGTACGTCGACGAGGTTCCCCCTCCTGGAGCGAACATCGTCAGTGGCATGTGGATTTTCAGGGTGAAGTGGCTGCCAGGTTCTCCGCCTGTCTTCAAGGCTCGTTACGTTGCTCGAGGTTTCAGTCAGCGAGAGGGAGTTGACTTCTTCCATACCTTCTCCCCCACCCCAAAGATGACCACTCTTCGGGTGCTGCTGCACGTTGCCGCTCAGCGTGACTACGAGCTTCACTCTCTTGACTTCAGCACAGCTTTCTTGCAGGGCAGCCTGCACGAGGAGATCTGGCTGCGCCGCCCGCCTGGCTTCACTGGGTCGTTCCCTCCTGGTACCCAGTGGAGCCTCCGGCGGCCGGTCTACGGTCTCCGCCAGGCGCCACGTGAGTGGCACGACACACTGAGGACGACACTTGCGGCTCTTGGGTTTGCTCCGTCGACTGCTGACCCGTCGCTGTTTCTGCGCACCGACACTTCGCTGCCGCCGTTCTACATCCTCGTGTACGTCGACGACTTGGTCTTTGCCACTGCTGACACTGAGGCTCTCGCCCTGGTGAAGTCGGAGCTGCAGAAGAGACACACGTGCACAGACCTGGGTGAGCTGCGCAGTTACCTTGGCTTGCAGATCGCCCGGGACAGAGCACGCCGCACCATCACCCTGACTCAGTCACATATGGTGCAGCAGGTCCTTCAGCGCTTCGGCTTCACCTGGTCCTCAGCACAGGCCACTCCTCTGGCTACAGGTCACTCGCTCTCAGCTCCACCTTCGGACGAGTCCGTAGAGCCGAGTGGTCCTTACCCATAGCTAGTTGGCTGCCTCATGTACCTGATGACCTGCACTCGTCCTGACCTCACGTACCCTCTTGGCCTTCTGGCTCGCTACGTGGCTCCTGGTCGGCACCGAAAGGTGCACATGGATGCTGCTAAGAGGGTACTGCGCTACTTGTGCAGTACATCGGGCATGGGGCTCGTGCTTGGAGGACGGGGCGACGTTGTCCTCACTGGTCACACGGACGCTTCTTGGGTTGACGACCAGGCTACGCAGCGGTCGTCACAGGGTTACACCTTCAGCCTTGGCTCTGGTTCAGTTTCTTGGCGTTCTACACGCTCGTCTTCAGTTCTCAGCTCGAGTTGTGAGGCTGAGATCTACGCCACAGCCATGGCTGCACAGGAGTTACGCTGGCTCACCTACCTGCTGACCGAGCTGGGAGAGCGGCCTCGTTCTCCTCCAGTGCTGTACGTCGACAACAAGGCCGCCATTGCCTTGTGTCAGGAGCACAGACTGGAGCACAGAACGAAGCACATTGCTTTGCGTTACTTCTTGGCTTGAGAGTTGCAGCAGCGTGGTCAGCTTCGTCTTGCACACGTGGCCACTCGGGCCAACACTGCTGATATATTCACCAAAGCAGTTCCGTCTGGTGATCATCAGCGTTTCTGCACTTTGTTAGGCCTTGTGCCCACTTTTCCTCACTTGCTGTAGGCTTTGTTTATACTGTGATCTATAAATATTCCTGCATGCTTGCTCTGCTAAGTAGAGATCACTGTACTATTGTTGTTGCATATATACCTCTGCTTGTGAACTGGCCTTGTGGCCCTTTGCTTGTGCTCAGTGTGTGTGGTGACGCTGTGATCCACCCTGAGCTTGCTTTGCTTCTCTTGACTGGTCTTGTGACCCCTTACTCTCCCCCACTTTGCCTATGGGGGTGTGTCAAATTATATGCCTATGTCATAATAGAATGTAGGCTTTAGTGGGGTAGCTAATGTAGGGTATAGTTTTTTGTTACTTGTACCCAACTTTCTCGATAGTGCACAACCTTTTTCCCTTTACTCTCGACAGCTAGTCCCAGGGTTCACACAAGTATATGAATATGATACAACAAGCAGAACAAGCAATAGTGATCAAGAAACAAGCAAGTGAGGACCACAAATAACTAGTTCAAGCTAAGTACAAAACCGTTGGTGGTCACAAGGTTGAAGTGCCTTGGTGAGGATGTAAGCGGTGTTGTCCATTAAGGTTACTGAAACCATGCTTGCCTGGCCACGCTGCTACAACTCACCCAAGAAGATGTAATGCAGCTCAACGTGCTTCGTATGTCCCACGTGTCGAGACTCCTGACACAACAGGATCATGGCCGTGTTGTCAGCAAAGAGCACGGGGACAGTACGAAGTGGCTAACCCTGGTCGGTGAGAAAAAACGTGAGCCAGCACAACTCCACTCTATCCATGGCATCGGCATAGATCTCAGCCTCACAGCTAGAAAGAGCAGCTGACGACGCACGAGTCGACCTCCCAGACACAGCTCCAGAGCCGAGACTGGGACGAATGGCCGACGCCCAAACAGCCATATCTTCACCAACACTCCCATATCTTCCCTTCGGCCCCTCTCCGCCTTCGCACTGGCTATTTGGCCTCCCCGAGTGTGGCAAGACTCACATTGTTGGTGCTGCTGCTGCGTGTGGGATCCGGTGTGTCTCTGTGAAAGGCCCGAGCTATTGAATAAGTACATCGGAGCTTTGGAGCAGGCGGCTCGGGACGTGTTCTCCTAAGCCTCTAGCGCCGCTCTGTGCATTTTGTTATTTTCAACGAGTTTGACGCGATTGCGTCGAGAAGAGGGCATGATAGCACAGGGGTGATTGACAGGGTAGTGAATCAGCTTCTAGCGGAGATGGATGGAGTTGAAGGGATAGAAGGGGGTTTTTTTTGTGGCGGCTACGAGCCATTTAGATCTGATCGATCCGGCTCTGCTGCATCCTGGACGGTTGGATCGGCTCGTGCTCTGCGATTTCCCCAGGGCGGAGGACCGGCTGGCGATTCTGCGCGCGCTTTCCAGGAAGCTTCCTCTGGGTGCTGACGTGGACCTTGCTGAGCTGGCGCGGTGCACGGAGGGGTTCAGCAGCGCGGATCTGCAGGCCTTGCTGGCAGATGCACAGCTGGCGGCGGTGCATGCTGTTCTGGATGAGGGTGAGAAGGGGGGAGGAGGGGAGGGTGAGGGGGGAGGAGAAGGGAAGAGTGAGAAAGTGGAAAGAGGGAAGGAGGGGGGATCTGGGGTCGAGACGAGAAATGGAGATGGAGGGGACGAGAAGGCAGAGGTGGAAGAGGGAGCAGGGAGGGAGGCTGAGGTGGCAGCAGAAGCGGGGAGGCAGGGGTCAGGGACAGGAGGGGCAGCAGACGAGGCAGCAGGTACTGAGGAGCACAAGAAGCAGCAGAGAGGGAAGGCAGGAGCAGGGAGGAAGGGCAGAAAGGGCAGGAAGGGGAAGAAAGCGGAGGGAGTGGAGGCAGGGAGGCCGGTACTGGGGAGGGTGCATCTGGAGCAGGCTGTGGGAAGCGTGCGACCGTCCGTGCCAGCAGCAGAGAGGCAGCGACTGTCGGATATTTACAATGAGATGATGGGTGCCAGGAAGTGGAGCAGTGCTGCTGCCATGGCGGAGAGGAAAGGGAAAAGCTTAGGCATCAGCCGTCCGTGTCAGCAGAAGAGAGGCAGAGACTGTCGGACATTTACGGTATGATGAGATGATGGGGGCCAGGAAGGGGAGCAGTTCTGTTGTCATCGCGGGGTGGAAAAGGAAGAGGGCCACCTTGGCCTGAATCCTGAGCCGTCAGTGAGACTGAATGGAAAAGGATTTGTGAATGTAACTACAAGTATTAATTAGAGGTACAAGAGCTGCGTGAAATAGTTGTTGTTGATAGACCCGAAAAAAGGAAGATTACACGGCACTTTATTGGGCCAGACTAAACAAGCAGCAGAAGCTACCACGGTGCCATGATTTATTCTCCTACACCAAACTTAGAGCTCCACTCCACCACCACACTGAAACTTCTGAAAATCCCAAACCCTAGAAAAGCTCACTATTAAACACCATTTTGTAAGGCAGGTCCAGCATAGCCTGGAAAAACGGCGGCTCCGGAATGTTCCAATCCTTGAAGTACGACTGTACCGAAACCGCCTTTATCCCGATATCTTTTTTCGGGCAGGAAACAAAGTCGGGGTGTTCCGCCAACACCACCGACCCCTCCGAAACCCCAAAATCCTGATTTGCATAATCCGCGAATTTCATGTCATCGCCGGTGTACCTGAAGACAATTTGCCGATTTAAATATTCCGCGCCAGGGTTTAGCTCGCAGTACCGATATTCCGCATCCCTGAGAGTGTCTGGATCAACTACAATGTATTCTACGTCGTTTTCCGTCGCCATTCCGCTGCACGCGCCGGTATCGTGCGCGGTGAGCGCTTTGGGCCCGGGCGGGTTGCAGCTGTATGCGCCGATGCGTGTCTGCCGGCACACGTGCTTCATCCATGGCCATTCCTAGTAGAAGGAACAAGGGATGGGGGTTTGGCGAGGGGTGGAAAGTGGTGGAGAGGGTTGCTAAGGGGTGGAGGAGTGGAGAGGGGTGGAGAGGAGTGGAGAGGGGTGGAGAGGAGTGGAGAGGTGTGGAGAGGGGTGGAGAGGTGTGGAGAGGGGTGGAGAAGAGTGAAGAGGGGTGGAGAGTGGTGGAGAGTGGTGGAGAGGAGTTGAGAGTAGCTTTAAACCCAGGGCACTGCCCCAACCCCACCATGAGGAGCCATTGTCAGGGTGATTAACACTCACCTTGTTAATCTCCGGTGTATCGTAGTACAGCTTCCGCATGGCCTCCCAATAGGACCCCGGGTCCTTTCGACAGTGGTTGACCGTGACGGTGAAGCACGTGATGTAGCCGGGGCTCTGCCCCAGCCCCACCATGAGCAGGCTGCGGATGTGGTTCCTCTTGCCGTTGTTCAGCTTCACGCCGTCCCACAGCTGCAGGCACACGCCCCCCTGAATGGCCACGCCTGACGTGCAGTAGTCCAGGTAGTAGCAGTGGTCCCCGCCGATCACATAGTTGCAGCTCACCGTGTTGCCTGCGTGGGGTGGGGTGGAGTGGAGTGGGTTGCAGTGGGACGGGATGGAGCAGGATGCGGGTTAGGAGAAAAGATGAGCTGGCAGGCATGGAAAAGGCGGTCAAGAGGGGCAGCAGGAGGGGCTGAAGCCTCCCTAGTGCTAACTTGGGCTCACCAGTGTTAACCTGAGGGTCAGCAGGAAGGGTTTAAGGCTTGCTGGTGCTACCCGAGGCTCATCAGGGTTGAACTGGTGCCAGTTATTTTTGAGGCGCCTCAAAAAAAGGCTCACTGAGGCTATCTGAGGTTCACTGTGGTTGAACCGGTGCCAAGAGTGGCGTCTGAGGATTATTGCGGATGAAGGGCTACCGGGGCTGAACCAGTATCAAGAATCAAGCAGGGCTGAAGGCTCACCGGTGTTGAACCAGTGCGCTGATGAGGGCCTTAGCTGGCCGAAACGTGTTCGCACGCGACATCCGGGCGTTAGTAGGCTTGCTCAAACCCGGATAAAAACCAACTGATTTCAACAGTCTCAAGAATCAAGAAGGGCTGAAGGCTCACCAGGGCTAAACCAGTGCGTGCAGAAGTAGATGCCTGCAGAGTCGCCTGTGAGGTTCTTCTTCTGTGGGGAGAACACAAAGTTGTGCTTCACTGTTGTGAGCGCACAGTCCCACGCGAAATGCACGTCTGCACCACACCTGTGCACGGGGAATAGGGAGGTAGTGTGTAACGTAGATGGGAGCAGAATGGGTGAAGGCAATGATTAGTGTGTATTGTAATTGCTAACGCCACACAAACCTGCCCCAAGCACAACGGGCATCTAGTGGTGAAATGATTTGAGTTTTAAAGATGCCTCAAAACTCAAATTGCAAACGCCACACACAGACCTGCCCCAAGAAGAACAGGCAGCTGCTTTTTTTAGAAAATAGAGGGAGCGCCGCTTCCCCAACGTATCTTCAATTCAACTGATTGGAAGTGTGGATTTAAGCAGTGCACGTTAGAAAATGTTGCTTGCTTGTAGCCACACACCGCACCGCACCGCTCTGTATAATCTAATCACTGCACCTGAAGCCTGAGAAGAGGTAGTCGTGGAGGAAATTGTTCCTCACAGTAGCTCCAATGGTCCCCCGATAGAGATAGATGAGTTCCCACGCGCCAAAGAGATCGTTATTGGAGACGATATTCTCGGAGGAGGTGAGGTTGACGCCTATGCCGCTCATGCCCATGCGGATGACCCCCGGGTGGTACTGGAAGTCCCAGGGCGCCGTGGCAAAGAGCGAGTCCAGCTTCGTGTATGCGCAGCGGAACACGTCTATCCGCCCCACCACTGATGCCTGCGTGAACTGAATGCCATACGACCTGCAGGCAAGGCAAGGTCGGGGGAGGGGACAGCAGCAGCAACAGGCAGAGGAGATGGGCCTAGTGAGAATAGAAAGAGCGAGTCTAGCACCTGCTATGAGCCCCACCACTGACGCCTGCGTGAACTGAATGCCATACGACCTGCAGGGAAGGGAAGAACAAGGGAACGGGAAGGCAGCAGCAGCAGCAGCAGCAGCAGAGGAGGAGGCAGAACAGGCCATTTGGCTGGCACACCAGGCTTGTTTTAGATGCCTTCAACAAGCTAGCAGCAGAAAAGCAATCATTACGACCTGAATTCAACAAACCCCAAAACGAACCACAAAACACACTTCAAACCGAGCCCAAACGAACCTGTAGATGAGCAGAGCGGGGCACAGCAGGTCGTTCCCCAACAGATTCCCATACTCGGGCAGGGACTCGCAATAAGCTGACCCGTTTCTGACAGGACTCCTCAGGCCGATCCCGATAAACACCATGTTGCTCGCATTGAGCACCTGCAGCACCGCAGAATACACCCTGACTGTGTGAGTCGTTTCGTGATTGTGAGTGGGTGGTGATCTTTGAGCCAACTGAAAAGTCGCCTTGTGAGTGATGATTGTGAGTGATGATTGTGAGTGATGATTGTGAGTGATGATTGTGAGTGATGATTGTGAGTGGGTGGTGATATTTTCTGTGAGACGCCTCAAGACTCAAGGCGAGGGACAGGGCACCAGCCGATTCCAATGAACACGTCTTGAAAAGCACCGGTAGCAGGGATGCCTGATCTCGAGGCTGTGCGCGCTGGGGAGTGTATCCGACTGGAAGACGGTACACGAAATACTGTTTTTATCCATTCCAAGGCAGCTCTACGTGAGGGTGACGGCTTCCTTCAAAAACATACTCGCTGAAAACGCATGGGCTCCGTGTCGGTGGTGATTTCCAAGACATACTCGCTGGGGAGTGTATCTGCCTGGAGAAGACAGGTCTCCAGAGAACCTAACGCGTCTCACAACGCACCTGAAGCACTGGCTCCGTGTCGGTGGTAATCTCGAGCACATACTCGCTGGGGAGCGTATCTGCCTGGAAGATGGTGCAGGAGAAGTTCGAATCCAGCACCAACGAGTGGTTGAGAGTGATCGACGCCTGCAGCACCAGCGTGACCGTCTGGTTCGATGGGTACTGCGTGCGCGATAGAATGTGGTCCAGAGTGGTGACGTTGATCACCGGTCCGGTGCTCCTGGGACTGCACGGGGAGTCCCCCGCGGGGCGATTCTCCTCCCATGGCGTTGGGGTCGCCGTGTCGTTCTTGCTTTTCGTACCGGAGGAAGAAGAAGAACAGTTGCACGAGGGGGAATCGGAAGAGGAGGAGGAGGAGGAGGAATCAGAAGAGGAGGAGGAAGAGGAATTGGAAGAGGAGGAGGAGGGAGAGGAATCGGAGGAGGAGGCGATGGTAGCAGAGAAGGCGGAGGGAGAGGGTGAGGAGGAGCGGGTAGTGGAGGCTTTAAGGTTCTGCCAGGAGCGCGTGCCTCCCGGCATGAGATCCAATAGCTCCTCGTCTGTCGGGCTCGCCACTCCCGCCACTCCCGCCGCCCGTGTGTGCGCCCGTTTCGCCTTTCCCTGCGAGCGTGCCCATTGCCGCATGGCGCGCCTGGTGCGCTTCTCCGACTTCCGCTGCGCCACCCCCTGCAGGCGCGCGCTCTGCCTGCGCCACTCCTGCAGCCGCCCCTCGAACTGCGCCTCCGTCTCCTCCCACAGCGCGCGCGCCATCTCTGCGTGCGCCGCCCGCTTCGCCCGCTCCGCCTCATCCTCCGCCTCCCCGAGCTCGCGTGCGTGCGCCGCCTCCCACCGCAACACCTCGCTCCGCGCCCACTCGGGAATCTCCTCCCCGCCTTGCCCTCCGCTGCCAAAGCCGCCGCTGCTGCTGGCACCGCTACTGCTGTCGCTGATGCTGATGCGGCTACTGCTGATCAATGCGCGTCCTCCTGCCGTCATCTCCCCTTCCTGCGCGCGCCACCGTCCAAGGTTCCGCACGGGAACCCCGTTGGAAGCATGCACGCCCGCACTGTTGTACACGATAGAAGCAGCCGCGTTATGGGCTGTGAAACCGACAGCCAGCAGCGCAACGAGCGCTAGCTGAACGGCCGAGATAGCTTGGGAGCGGAGGAACGAGGCGCGCACAATGGAGCTCGCTCGCATCACGTTGCCATGCCTCACAGCGGCGGGGGCGAGCAGGCGACGACTAGCGGCGGCGTGGGTTGTGCGACGCACACTGCGCGTCGCACGCGATGCCTGCCGGGCACAAGACGACGGGACAGGGGTGGCAGAATACGGGCGAAAATCTTAGGAACAGTGAAGGTGTGTTCCCTGAGTGGTTGCATACATCCAACAATTGGAGGAATAAGGTAGCGGGAGGAAGGGAAGGAAATGGGGTGGTACATGGTGCAGTTTGATATTACTACTTACAGCAGTCGTCATTCGAGTCCGGGTCATTTGACGAAAAGACCGAGTTTCTCCGAGGAAGCTTCGTCAGAGTCGACGAGGTCCAGTGTGCAGCCAACCGACTTTCGATTGGCCCGAACTGCGTGGCCCGAACCGTCTTTCAATTGCGGTTCGGCGTAAGTATTGAAACCAGAATCAGCGCCAATCTTTCGGTTTTACTTATATCAGAGTCAGCTCATGCGGGAGCTAATCCATGGAAACGTGGAAACGTCACCCAGAATCCAAGGAAACGTGGCCTGCTACGCGGGCGCGCGCTCGGAAAAAAAGGTATGAGGATAACTGGGCTCAGAGAATTGACGTAATTTTTATATGTCTAGGCTAATGCGAGTGCCTGGAAGACCTGAATATTATTGACACACGAGGACACGGGGACTGGTAGCCGGCAACTTCTAGGTGCAAATTCCTGTGTGTCGCCAGAATTCACCGGGCAGGAGACCGCGAGATGAGTAGGGAGCAGCGCGCACGTAAATACTGCTGCTGCTGCCATTGAGTCGACTCCAATGCTACCGCTGCTGCCACGGCGACGCGTGACCGTGTCGGGGACGATCTGCCCGAGCCGTGGCGCCTGATTTCCTCGGCAGCTCGTATAATTTTGGCATTTGTGAAACCTCCGCGGCTCGTGTAATGCCTGCGGTTCAGAATCTCCGGTGTAGTTTTGTCGCGGGAAGCGGCTTTCACAATTATGGGCTCGGCTGGGATGGAGGATGCTGGACATGGCGGCTTCTGCGGGGGGCACAGGCCGCGTCCAGGCAACACAAGGACAAGTCGCTCCAATAATTATAGGTGTTCGAGTCTGGACGGACGTGGTTCAGGCTTTGTCCCAGATCCTATGCGTTATGAGAAAAGGCTTCGGATTCCACAATTATGGACAGGGAAGTCGGGCTGGAAGGAAGGACTGGTGGGTGTGGTGCGGAAGACATGGATGGATTTGACAATTATTGGTTCCTCCAAGAGAATGTCGGGGTTGGTGAAGAGGAAATGACGGACCGCTGTGTTTGCGCGTTTTCGATTTGTTTTGGCAGTGGCTTTGACAGCGACTCCCTTCGCGCTCGCGCCCAATTTCCGTGGGCAGTTTTTATTGAAATCTCCCATTCTTCGTGACCAGACGTATAGAAGGAAAAATACTAAGTCTATCTGGTTTCAGTATAGAGGCCAGTGGCAAAACTAAAACCCGCTCGGATGACAAGCCATTTGGGAGGCATCAGCCCTAAACACCTTGCCTCACGGTGTTTCGGGTTGATGCACTTTTACGTGGCATACCATCCATGAGGGTTTTTTTTGTCCCGAGCTGCGCATTTGCTATGGACTCGACGAATAAATTTTGAATATCCCGTAACATAGAAACAATCTGTATTTGTGGACTCAAAAGGGGAAACGGAGAAATAATATGCCCCAAGGTATTGGACGCGAGCGCGGAGCGATGTGCAGTCAAAACCACTGCCCATTGGAATTGGAAACTAGAAAACACGGCGCTCCGTCATTTCCTCGTTGGTGAAGGTGGATCAAGTATATTCACCACTCAGAAACGTAATCGACCGCTATTTGTCTATTTAAAGGCGGGGTGCAACCTCTTAGGAACAGTAGAGGGACAAAAATGGCATGTGAGTAACTTGAATTCTATTGGACGAAAAAACTGGAAAACCAGAAGAGGACAAACTTCTCGGCTCTGAACTGCCTGGGTCAACCTCTTCCAAGCTATAATACTTTGAAGTTGAAGTTGATAGTTGGGCCACGGCTTTAAGTCTGTCAGGCCGCGGAAAGTTCAGTCGTGGTGGTGTTTCGGGTGACTTGCGAAATGAGCTGCGACACATGTCTCGCGAATTTCGAAAATGGTAGATGACCAACAGAGATTCCTCCGTTCATGTGCGCTTCCGCAGAGTGCCTTTGCACCGTTAAGAACCGTAACAGATCGAGATGACAATATGAATTGCAAGGTCATACTTTAATGGAGGGCGCAGAATAGCGAACCAGTACACTTCGAAAAGTGCTGATACGTGCATACACTGGATGTGATAGTGGTAGTATTGAGAGAGAGTATGCTCGTCAGTGTTTTGAACGAAACTTAGTGCATATTACACCTCAACCATGTCTGCCGTGTGCTGCCGTTCCGCCGTTTCTCGCGGCGTGTGTGCGTCGAGGTCGCTGTTCGATTCGCAGCTTTCGCAGCGCATCGCGAGCATTCTCGGTTCCTCGTCCGATCTTCCACTCTCCTTTTCGTCGTCTCCTTCCGAGCCGCTGCGTGTGACTGGGCCTGCTGCTGGGCGTGCGCGCTTCCATTCTTCTTCATTTGTCGGCGCAGATCCCAGCGCAGGTGATTATAACGCGGATGGATTTAATTGCATCTGCTCGCTCTTTATTTCGTCCTTAGTCCTGCTCGATCGTCTCTTCATTTCCCGCCTTGTTTGTTTTCACCTGTCGCTACCTTTCCATCGGCAGCAGGCTCCACCCCCTCGTCGCCAGCCGTCGCAGGCGACGTCGCACAGTCACCACTTCTGCCGCGTCTGCGATCATGGTTCGCAGCGCCCGACCTAACTCCGCCGCCCTTCGTGGGGCCTACGGGCGGATCTGAGGCGGGGAGCGGAGCAGACGGGGAGGCGCGGGGGGACGCGCAAGGGCGAGGGGAAGCGCGGATGCACGGAGAGGGCGCGCGAGGCTATGGGGATCAGCGGGTGTACGGGAGGGACCCGCGGGGGTATGGGCGGAACTTCCGCCCGCGCCCGCCTGTGGCGCGGCCGAAGCTGGATCTTCTGGATAAGGTGCTGACCAGGCGGGAATGGGGGGAGATGATGGGGCAAGGGGATGTGGGTGGGGGCTGGGGCGAGAGGAAGGGACGGTTGGGGAGAAAGTGGAATGGTCTTCTGTGTGCATCCCCTTAACCGCCTTCTCAACCCCCCCCCCACCTTCCCCCCTCACCCGTCTCCCCCATTACCACCCCCGCCCCTTTCTCCGCCGTCTCCTCCATTACCCTCCATGCTCACCCTATTCCCCCCAGTATGTGCACTTGTCGCTGCTGTCAGCAGAGGAGTGGCAGCCGTTGGAGCCTAGGAAAGATGGATTCTTCGTTTTGCACATCCACCCCCTCCTTCATTTCTCCTCCCTTTCCATCCTCCCATCTACCCCAGTACGTGCATTTGTCGCTGCTGTCAGCAGAGGAGCGGCGGCAGGAGGAGCTGCGGGGAACGAAGGCAGCAACTGTATGTATGCAAACCCCTAATCACACAACCCCCCCTTTCTCCTGCTGTGCCCCCCACCCCAGTACGTGCATCCGTCGCTGCTGTCAGCAGAGGAGCGGCGGCAGGAGAAGCTGGGGGGAGTGGGGGCAGCACAGCAGCTGTACCTGCTCACATCCCCACCTTTTGTTTTCTTTGCGCACCCGATTCCCCTCTCCCCCCCGCAACCCCCCCCTCCCTCCCCAGTACGTGCACCCATCGCTTCTGTCAGCAGAGGAGCGGCGGGAGCAGGAGCTGCAGGGAGTGAAGGAGCGGTTCAGAGTGCATGAGGGGGATACGGGATCGAGTGAAGTGCAGAGTGAGTGAGGGAGGGAGTGAGGGAGTGAAGGAGAAGAGAGAGGGTGTAATAGAGTGAAGGAGCAATTTAGAGTGCATGATGGGGACACGGGGTCCAGTGAAGTGCAAAGTGAGTGAGGGAGGGGAGGGAGGGAAAGAGTGAGGGAGTGAGTGGGAAAGAGTGGGAGAGAAGTTGAGTGAAAGCGGGAGTGAAGGAGCAGAGTACACGAGGGGGCCACGGGGTCCAGTGAGATGCAGAGTGAGGGGGGGACGGAGTGAGAGAGGGAGGGAAGGAGTGAGAGAGGAGTGAGGGAGTGAGTGAGTGATTGGGAGAGAGTTGGAGAAACAATCGCGCAAAAAGGGGAGTGAAGGAGCAGTCCAGAGTGCATGATGGAGAGTACAGGGTCCAGTGAAGTGCAGAGTGAGTGTGGAAGGGAGTGAGAGATTGAGTGAGTGAGTGAGTGAGTGAGTGAGTGGGAGAGTGAACAGCAGTTTAGATAGAGTGCATGAGTGGGATCCTGGCCGCAAGGGATTAAGGGAGCGCACTTGAGTGAGAGAGTGTGGATACAAGTGAGGGAGTGAGAGAATCACTGTAAGATACAGGGATTGTGTGAGTGGTGCGTGAGTGAGTTAGATTGCTGCTCATTCTCTATTTTAACAGCCATATCTCTTGCATTTGCAATCAACAGGTTTTTAGGCTGTCCCAATTCAACTGTTCCAAATCTCATCCCAGGTTTACCATCTCTCTGTCTCCCCTCCGCTCTCCTGCTTTCACTCCGCTCGACCATCCTCCCTCTGCGTGCCTGTAACCAACAGTTGCTCTGCTCACCTCGCGCATTGCCTACATGGCACAGCACCTCCAAACGCACAAGAAGGTGAGTGCCTTCCCATGCTCGTTGCCCCTTGGGCTTGCAAGGAAGCATTGCGATTCAATAAATGCACCCATAATGCTCCCTTTGCCGTGCTCAGAGAAGACTCCTTGGTGTTGTGTCACAATCAAACACATTCTTCTCCTTTTCCTTCATGACCTGCACTCAGCATCTCTGTTCCCTTCCTTCAGTATATTTGCATCTCTTTTCCTGGTCTGCATTTAAACCCGTTACATCATTATCTGCATTCAAGAGAGTTGTGCCACAAGCAGTCACTCAGCATCTCTCTCCCTGCCTTTAGGACCTGCAGTCACGGCGGGCCATGTGTGGGATGTTGGCGCAGCGGCGCAAGCTTTTAAAGTATTCCCCCCCTGTCCCTTCCCTGCCTAAAGGATCTGCAGTCACGGCAGGCCTAGATGGAATGCTGTCGCAGCGGCGCTAGCTGCTCGATTTTGGAGATTTTAAACGAATAACAATATGCGTACAAAACCTCTTTCCCTTCCTACAGGACCTGCACTCACGGCGGGGTCTGGATGGAATGCTTGCACGGCGGCGCAAGCTGCTGAAGTATCTGCGGCGCAAAAACTGGGACTCCTACTGCCACGTCATCGCAGAGCTGGGGCTGCGGGACAGAGTGGACCTGCAATCTTAGTCGTTGATTAGGTGTCCTGTGTTGTGGGTTGTGATGCTTCAAACGGCGCAAGCTGCTCCAGTAACTGAGGAGGAAGAACTGTGACTCCTACTGTCATTTTATTGCGGACCTAGGGCTTCGTGTCGGGACAAGACAGAGTGGATCTGCAATCTCAGCCCCTGGTTGGGTGTCCTGTGTTGTACGGTAGGTTGTGGTGGCGCCTGGAACAGTGCAAGCTGCTGAAGTATCTGCGGAGCAAGAACCGGGACTCAGGGCTGCTCAAGTACTGCCATGTTATCGTTAGCAGAGCTGGGGCTGCGCTGCGTGACAGAGTCGACCTGCAATCTTAGGTCATTGTGCATGATCCACTTTAAGAACAGTGTTCATTTTAGAACAACAATGACAAAGCAGGTTCGTAATACTAGTGCCACCCTCCATGCATCTTGTATGATGAGCATTGTTTCTATAACTGTGCCACGTTTAGTCTATTCGAAAAGTGACTCATGCTCTCCTCCAGGCTGGGTAAGGTGAAAACTGAAGAGGATACGAGTCATGGTAATCACAGCTCTTCTGTTACTTTGTACACTTCACGAGTGACTTTCAAACGAGTCACGATTACGTAACCCTGCCTCTGCTGCCTGCACTCCCCATCCACGCCCTGTGCACGCCCCCATTTGTTTTTGATGTCGATGTCGATAGACACGCTCCGTGCATGTCGGCGCCGAGTCGGCTCAGTAGAACGTCCGTCAACGTCAATTCGACGGTACCAAGCGGGGATGCATCGGGACGGCATCCGAAAGGGAACGATGCCGCTGGGGAGGCGCAGGGGCAAAATGGGATCCCGCGCGTCGTTCCGTTGCAAGATTCCCGTCAGTACTACATTACTACGTGCCTGTCGCTCACTCTCCCAGCTGCCTCTGGCCTCGCTGCGTTCCTCATTTACCCGCCTCTTGCGCCAAGTATCTCCCGTCAACCCCGTCAGCCCCGTCCGGCCCGTCCGGCCAGCCGTGCGCCCCGTCCGCGCTATCCTGCCCGTCTGCGCATCCGTCTGCGCAGTCCCCCGCGCGCATGCATCGCGTGCGCCACTCCCGCGCGTCTCGCCTTCTCCATCTCTTCGCGCAGCGCCATGCCGCTCCCCGGCTCGGCGCGCTGCAGCCCCGCGTGGGGTTCGTTGCGGCGGCCGGCGGAGATCGGCCGGCAGCGTTACGCGCTCCCGACTGCCAGTCCAGTTCAGTATGCCCCCCTGCCGGCAGAAAGCACGTGCCGGTTGCTGTCCGGCATCCACGACCAGTTCGTGAGCGTATCGCATGCCTGCAAGATCCGAGTCATCGGGTGTGACACGCCGTCCTCTTCTCCCAGTGCACTGTCCGCCAGATCATGCACGCGGAAGCTTCCCGCGTGGTTGCCACAGCTGGGTTTGGGAATGTCGGCGACCAGCCGCTTAGATATCCATGGGGGACTCTTCACTGACGCTTCACTGACGCTTCACTGCTGGATGGCAGTCAACGCGTCCATGTACGACTTTTCGCTGACGCTGTGCCAAAATCCACTGCCACGCTGTCCGCAAAGCCATCTTCCGCCGAGTTGCACCGCTTTACACCGCGCCCTACGCCTCTTTCTCGGTTTTCCGCCGCATGTCATCTCCCTTCACCTCTGGCGGGCAGTTCGGCGTCTTCTCGGGGCCGCCTTACCACCACTCCCGCTCGCGACAGCAGCAGCAGCAGCAGCAGCAGCAGCAGCAGCAGCAGCAGCAGCAGCAGCGGCGGCGGCGGCGGCAGCGGTGGCAGCAGCGGCAGCGGCAGGGATGGCGTTACCGCTGCCTTTGCTGCCCACGTGTCGGCGCTGGAGAGGTTGGTGGAGGAGGCGCGGCGGGCGTACGGCGAGCGGCACGAGCTGGTGGCGGGGCTGAGACTACAACTGGCGCAGGCGTACCTGGAGCAAGAAAGGGACGCGGGGACCGTGCTACGTGTGGTGGAAAATTCGTGGAAGGTGAGAAGTGAGCAACGTGCTGTGCTGTATATGCATGGCTTGACAAGTCACTGGTAGTCTCTGGCTGCTGTATGTCACTTGACATACATACAGACCCAACATTGTTAGTCGAATCTCAACGTTTGTGGCTTAACCTTAAGCCTGTGGTTTCCTGTGTTGTGCACTGAAAACCTGTTTGAAATGGATTTGTTGCGAGCTATGTCTCGACTCGGCGTCTTATGGCTGCGTGCGCTATTATGATTATCCCTTGTTCTCAATAGTGATTCTGGTGCGCACAGCATGACCCATTCACCAGGTGCGCAGTGCCGTTGCACTCCAAGGGTACCCGGTGCAAACCGTTTTGCTCCGCTTCCTTTTAAACCCAACTTTTACCCACAAACTCCAAATCCTGAACCCTTTCTGCTGTTGACCCGTTGACCCGTCACATGTGTGATCAGGTGTTAAAAGCCGTGGCAGTCGAAGGGGATTCGTTGCGAGCCAGATGTCTGCAGCTCATGGCTGTGTGCCATGCTAGGTGATTGCTGATGGGGTGATGATGGCATGACAGGGTTATATCGCATGGCATAGGCATGTGTCGGCATGATGGGGCTATATCGCATATCATGCTGGTGTGTGTCTGCATATAGATGGCGCATCCCATCCCATCCCATGCTATGCGGATCTCGGAAAATGGTGATCGTATGCCATGTGATGGCTTGCTACTCCGATTCAATTGGCCTTTGTGCAGCAAGCCATCTCATGGAATGCGAAGGAGTGCCATTTGCACCTCCTTGAGCACTGCCAGTCTCTGGCACTGCCAGAGACACTCTCTTTTCCCCCACACTGCTCCTTCTTTCCCTCGCTGCCCCTTTCTTCCCTTGCTGCTCCTTCTTTCCCTCGCTGCCCCTTTCTTCCCTTGCTGCTCCTTCTTTCCCTCGCTGCCCCTTTCTTCCCTTGCTGCTCCTTCTTTCCCTCGCTGCCCCTTTCTTCCCTTGCTGCTCCTTCTTTCCCTCGCTGGCCCGTTCTATTCCTCCTGGTCCCCCTCAACTCCCCCCTCCTCAACCCCCCCTAATCCCGCAGGCTCGGCGATCCCGAGATATGTCTCTCGCTCCTCGAGCAGTGTGAGGGAGCGTTGGAAGCTGCCAAGAAGCTTCAGTGCCTCATGCAAGAGAAAGAAAGATCCCCGAGTGCACAGGAGATGGAATTGAGTGGCTGGTGGCGAGTGTGGCAGGGAGAGGAGTGGAGGAAGAGAGGCTTGGAGAATAGAAGAGCAAAGGGTGCTGATGGGGAGGGGAAAGGGGAAGCATCATTATCATCAACAGCAGCAGTGAATGTGGCGCATGCGATGAAGAAATTCATATCCGTGGTGGGGTTTGACATGCACATGCTCAGGGCTAACGTCAGCAGTGCCATGGGCGACGTGGATACTGCGATGAAGGCCTACAGGTGGGTCAGTTGCGATGCGATGTGATAAAGGGGCGAGTCTGTGTGTCCTAGACATAGGCACGAGTTCGTCTGTCCTGCCTGAATCAAATCTTGAGTTGAGGCACCTAAAATATCGTCTCGTTTACCCCCTTCCGTGCCTGTGTCTTGTCTTCCAAAACCACAATAGCACTGCAGGAGGAGAAAAGTTTTGAGGTGCCTCAAAAGCTGTCCGTGCCTGTGTCTTCCCTTACAGGACCGCAATAGCACTGCAGGAGAAGGCATTGGGTGGGAATGACAACTGGTTAGCGGACTCGTTGCAAGATGCAGCGTCGGCGTGTCTGCGGCACAAGCTACTAGACGACGCCCATGCCATGGGGATTCGAGCGCTGCAGCTGCACGAGGCGTACAGGAGGGCGTTGGAAACAAGGATGAGAGAGGAGGAGGGCAGTGCAGAGAGCAGTGCTAGGGGAGGGGAGAGTGCGGAGGAAGGAGGGTTGCAAGGGTTTGAGTTGAGGGGTACAGTCAGAGAGGAGATGGAGGGGACGGGGAGGAAGGAGGTGAGGAGGGTGTATGAGGTCGCAGCTCTGGATGTTGTTTTCGACCACCAGTGAGTTGGCTTATAAAGCAGGTGGTGCATGCTGATTGGTCGAGATCGTTTCTTGGCTGCTCTCATAGAAGACGTATCTTTTACATTCTATCCTCCTCCGAGTGGCATGGGCCCTGCCCCGCCCCGGGATCTACTTTGAGAATTTTCAAAAGCGTCCCATGAGTCTACTAGGAAAATCTCGTCCTGTAGTCACTTAAGGTGCATGACAACCCTGCTCTGATCGGCATCATACCCCCGTAGCCATTGTATGGGGGTCTGCTGTTTTCCAGTTTTGAGGCTTTTTTTAGGCATCGCATCCGATCAGAGTTACCTAATACCTATTAGCTACGTATTTTATGTTTGTGTGTGTGTGTTTGGGTTTGTGTGTGTGTGTTTGGGTTTGTGTGTGTGCGCGCGCGCGTGTGTGTGTGTCTCGAAGTGACACCTCAAAGTTACCACTTAATATCTACCGAACCGAACCTCCCTACCCTTGTTCCCTGCTCTCCATCAATTTCCTTGTTTCCATCTTTCCCTGGCTTCCCCCCGTCTCATGCTGCCAGCAGGAGTGCATTGGGGTCGAGACAACGCCTCTCCGACAATGCACCACCAGTCAGCAGCAGCAGTCCTCCTCTAACCACCGTTCTCTCCTCTCAACACCTCCTCTCGCCCTCCCCTTTCCCCTTCTCCCCATTCCTCTGCGCCTCTCAGGCTACTAGCAGCAGTCTTATCGGGTCGCAACGACTTCTCTCCTGCAATCCACCACCAGTCGGCTGCAGCGGCCCTGCTCTCCTCCCTCCTCTCCTCGCCCTCCCCTCCCTCCTCCTTCTCCTCCATGAATCTCGCCTCAGTTCATCTCACTACTGTCGACTTTATCCTTCGCTCCGGCCTGCTTAAAGAGGGGACGCGAGGGGGGAGGGTGGTGTTGGGGGATGAGGAGGAAGCAGAGAACGGGGAAGGGATTGGTATCAGCAGCAGCAGCAAGAAGAGAGGGGAAGGAGTGAGGGGAGGAGTAGGGGGAGGAGATGAGGGAGGAATCGGGGGGGAGAGAACAGAGGAGGCGGGGGATATGGCACTGGTGGCGCTGAGAGCACTGAAGGAGAGTGCTGCAATCCAGAAAAAGGAGCTGGGGAAGGATCACCCGGCTGTGGCGAGGACGTATGCATTCGCTGTTGAGGTGTACTGGCAGATAGGGCAGCTGGAGGAGGCAGAGGTGAGGTGTGGTGCGGTGAGGCACGGCACGGTGAGGTGCGGTGAGGTGAGGCAAAGTAGGAAGCAAGATGGCTTTTGTGGCGAGGACGTATTCCCTCTCTGCTGATGTGTAGGTTCGTGATAGTAGTAGTTTTGAGACGTCTCAAAACTCAACTATTATCACGTGGTGTAAACTTTATTGAGGGGGCTTATTTGACATGGAGGGTTATCTTAAAACTCATCATCGCCCTTCTCCGGCCTCCCATCCCATTGCCCTCCATCCCATTGCCCTCCATCACACATCAGAAATTGAGCAAGAGAGAGATGAGGGTGCTGGAATCCCTACAAGAAGCCCACAAGCGCAGCAAGAAGGATGAGCAACTTTCTCCCTCGTCTCTTCACCCCCGTTGCCTGATCCCCCCCCTTCCGCTCCATTATCTGAAGATGAGCAACAGGGCATTGAGAGTGCTTGAATCCCTACCAGAGGCCTACAAGCGCAGCGACGAGGAAGCAACAGCACTCTCCCTCCTGGCCGACCACTTGCAGCACACCGGCCGCTCGGCCATGGCGCTGCCTCTGCTGGAGAGAGCGTTGAGCATCCAAAAGGAGGACCCCTTCAACTCTCTCAAGTCCGTGGGTGAGTTTTCAAGATAGTGGGCAAGGGGAATCAACTGAAAGTATACCCACGCACACCGGCCGCTCAACCAAAAGGGTGCTGCAGGGTGTTTTTGAGAATTCTAAAAAACACCCAGAGAGCCCTAAGCGCCGGAAGGGGGGACTCAAACATACTCCCAAGAATCCCTCGTTAATCTGCTCGTGGTCATGCTTTTGCTCTGCTTAGGTGGACTTCAATCATTAATTGCATTACCCGCCCTGCATTGCTCTCCCACTTCTCCATTCCCATTCCCAGAAACAGCGGCAGATCTTGCCTCTCTTCTTCTCACCCACCGCGGTCCCCGCGAAGCCCTCCCCATCCTGGTCGACGCATACCTCACTCTGCAAACCTCGCTCGCTCCTCGCTCCTTCCCTGGCTCATCCCGCGCTGATTTTCTCCGCATCCTTTCCCTCCTCTCCGCTACTCACGCCTCTCTCAACCTATGGGACGATGCTGCGAGAGTGGTGGGGGCGATGTGGGAGTTGGTGACAAGGGAGGGGATGGAGGAGGCGTTGTCGACACCTGAGAGGACTGATATGGCGACGATGCAAATATGGTTACCGCTGACAGAGGCTTTGAGGAGTGAGAAGAGGTGAGAGGGAGTGTGGAAGGGTGAGGAGTGAGGATACATGCGATAATGTGGAGCAAAAAACATGGACAAAAACAAATTGTTGTGTAAACTGAGAGCACCAACCAACCACATTCATCACCCTATTTTGGTACGCACCCCTCCGCAGGTTTCAACAGCTGCAGCAGGCATTGGAGCAAGCAGTGAGAGGAGCAGAAAGAGGAGGAACGGGCAAGGGGGGAGGGGAGGCATTCAAGGATACAGCAGGCAGCTATCGCTGGCTCGGTGTGCTGGAGCTGATGGTGAAATATAACAGCTGATTTTCCATTCCAACAATGCGGTGCTGATTGGTGTGGCCATGCTGCAAAAGAGCATGCTCTTAATATACAAGTCGGTGTAGTGTAGTGTAGTGTATTGAGTATGAGCTTGTTTCCGATTCAAATGGTGAAAATAAGTTCCACTGTATCAGGCACAGAAGGGAGCAGAACGGCAGAGAGCGGTGGACCCTCGAAAGTTGATAATACCGCGCCTAGAGGATTCGCTCTGTCCAGACTACGTCCACCCTCGCTGCACTCCCTTCCTTGCCCTCCCTTGTGTATAGTCTCTCCTGTTAGCCTAGTCCGCGAATTCGTTCGCCCAGTCCGCGTAGCCGCCTCCCCCTCGTCTGCGCGCATGCATCGCGTGCGCTACTCTCGCGCGTCTCGCCTTCTCCATCTCTTCGCGCAGCGCCATGCCGCTCCCCGGCTCGGCGCGCTGCAGCCCCGTGCGGGGGCCGTCACGGCGGCTGGCGGAGATTGGCCGGCAGTGTTACTCGTTCCGCCTGCTAGCCGGCAGGTAGACGCGGCACGTCCGATCAGCCGCTGCGGCGATCACCACGTAGGACGATTCACTGACGCGCTGCCACAGATCTGCTGCCAGGCTGTCAGCCAGCCTGGCGTTGCCACGCTGTCCGCCGAGCCATTACCTTCCATAGCCACATCATCACTCGCCCAGCGGTACCGCTCTGCGCCGCGCCATACACCTCTTTCTCGACTTTCCGCCCCTCATCACCACCCCACACCGCTCGCGGTCAGCTCGCCGTATGTTCGCGCTTTTAGCGCCTCCTCCACCGGCGACAGCAGTGGCAGCGGCGGCAGCAGTGGCAGCTGCGGCAGCAGTGGCAGCGGCGGCAGCGGCAGTGGTGGCGGCAGCAGCGGGAGTGTTGGCGGCAGGGGCGAGGCTGCGGGCGGACTAGGATCAGACCTAGGTTCGGATCTAGGGTCAGATCTAGGTTCGGATCTAGGTTCGGATTCAGGCTCGGATCCAGGTTCGGATTTAGGTTCGGAGGACGTGTCGGTGGGGGTGCTGGAGGGGGTGGTGGAGGAGGCGCGGCAGGCGTACGGCGAGAGGCACGAGCTGGTGGCGGGGCTCAGGCTGCGACTGGCGCAGGCGTATATGGATCAAGGCCGGGATGCGGGGGAGGTGCTATCTGTGGTGAAGAAGGCATGGGAGGTGAGATGTGGGGGAGGTGTGCTATCTGTCTATCTGCAGGGCCTGTCCTTGAAGCTTGTGTGTTCTTGTACACTGGAACCCCAAACCCCAAACCCTCAGCCACGACCCCACGAACCCCCCAAACCCGAATGCTAACCTCAAACCCAATTCTAACCCCAACCACTGACCCGAAACCTTAGACCCTGAACCCTGGCTGCGCATGACCCTCCCTTCCCTGGCACCATCAGGTGTTTGGCACCGTTGCTATAACTCTCCCTCCCAAACCCTGAAACTCAGACCTTGAACCTTTATTTCGCATGACCCTCCCTCCCTCCCATGGCACCACCATCAGGTGTTTGACGGCGTTGCCATGGATGGGGATCCCGTACGAGCCATGTGCTTGCACCTCATGGCCGCATGCCATGCCAGGTGATATGGGGTGTTGGGTGCTTGTGCGATGGCATGGCATGAATGACGGGGTTATGTCGCATGACATCATGTGCCTGCATCTTATGGCCGAATACCATGCCAGGTGTTGATGTGTGATGGGCTATGATGGCATGGGGGCATGATGGGGGTCAGACCATTTTTGAGTCGACTCAAAAATCGCCTCATGGCATGGGGGCATGATGGGGGTCAGACCACATGTCATCCATGTGCCTGCACCTCATGGCCGCATGCCATGTTAGGTGATGATGTGATTGGTGATGGGGTGATGGGGTGATGGGGTGATGGTGTGATGGGGTGATGGGGTGATGGGGTGATCATGGCATGCCGGGTTATATCGCATGTCATAGCCATGTCTTACACCTCATGGCCGCATGCCACGCCAGGTGATGCTCTGGTGGGGTGGTGTGATAACGGGGTTATTTCGCATGTCATAGCCATGAGCCTGCACCTCATGCCACATGCCAGGTGATCGCTGATGGGGTTATGTTGAGTGACATTGGCATGTGCCTGCCCTGCGCCTCATGGCCGCATGCCATGCCAGGTAGGGTGGCATGATTGCATGACAACATGATGGCATGATGAGGTTGCTTTATGTCGCACGGACATCTCTCTCTCATGGCCACACGTGAGGTGATGTTTCCGTGGCATGATGTCAGTGACCGCATGTCTTGTAATCATGAGGTGATGTTGTGCGAGTTACCACTTTTTCTCCTTCACCCCTGGCCCCCACCTTTCCACTCCCCATCATGGCATCTCCCCATTGCTCCCACAGGCTTGGCAACCCAGACGAGTGCCTCTTTCTCCTCGTGCAGTGTAAGAGAGGCACCTTGCTCTGCTCTCATGCTGTCCATGTCTCAATCGTCCTCTTCCTCCTTCCTCCTCCCTCCTTCTCCCTCCTCTTCCCCCCATTGCTCCCACAGGCTCGGCGACCCTGACGAGTGTCTCTCCCTCGTCTTGCAGTGCGAGTGCAGCGCTTTTATCTGCTCTCTTGCTGCTCGTTGACTTTTGAGTTGACTTTTGAGTCGACTCAAAAGTCACCCAGCATTTTTATCTGCTCTCTTGCTGCTCGTTGTCTCGATCCTCCTCTTCCTCATCCCTCCTCCCTCCCCCTCTCCCCCCTGTTGCTCCAACAGGCTCGGTAACCCAGACGAGTGTCTCTCACTCCTAGTGCAGTGCGAAGCAGCGCTGGAAGCTGCCAAGAAGCTTCAGAGCCTCATGCAAGAGCAAGACATAGCTGGGACTGAGCGAGAAATAGGATCAGATGGGGGGGAGAGCTGCGGGTCAAGGAATGGAGTTGCAGGGGTGGAGAGTGGGGGAGGTGTGGGTAGCAGAGGAGGCGAGGATGGAAGAATAGAGGGTGATGTTGGGGAGGGGGAGGGGGAAGAAGCAGCAGCAGCAGCAGCAGCAGCAATGGCGCAAGGGACAGCAGATGCCATCCACATGGTGGGGTTTGCGATGCACATGCTGCGAGCTGACGTCAGCAGTGCGAGGGGGGACATGGACACTGCACTGAAGGCGTACAGGTGGGCGATTGGGACTGCTCTTCTACACAGTAATACGAATTATGAGGCGCCTCGAAAATCGCCTCAAAACTCACCTTTTTTTAGGCACCGCAAAAGTCACCTCAAAAATCACCTAAATGGAGGCTTACAGGTGTGTGAGTGGGACAGTTCTTTTAGACAGTAAAACGATTTCTGAGGCGCCTCAAGTGGGTGGGCCATGCAGGTGGGTGGGGCACCTGCGAATGTATAGATGGTGGTGCAATGCGTCTATACATGCCCATGCCATGCCTGCGCTCATCCAATCCTGCCACTCTGCGCTCTCTGCCTTCTCTGTGTGCTCTGCCTTCTCTGTGCTCTCTCCCTTCTCTGTGCTCTCTCCCTTCTCTGTGCTCTCTCCCTTTTCTGTGCTCTCTCCCTTCTCTGTGCTCTCTCCCTTCTCTGTGCTCTCTCCCTTCTCTGTGCTCTCTCCCTTCTCTGTGCTCTCTGCCTTCTCTGTGCTCTCTGCCTTCCTTTTTCAGGACTGCGCTCGAGCTACAAGAAGAAGCACTGGGTGCAGAAGACCCAAGAGTAGCGGACGCATTGCAGCACGTAGGGGAGGAGTGTGCGAGGCACATGCGACTAGCCGATGCCCATGCCATGGGGATGCGCGCGCTGCAGCTGCACGAGGCGCACAGGAGGGGGTTGGAGGAGCGGATGGGAGGGGAAGAGGGGAGTGGGGAGGGGAGAGGACGGGGAGGGGAGGGTGCGGAGGGAGGAGGGGTGAGAGGGGAGGAGCTGAGGGAGAGAGTGAGGGAGGAGTTGGAGGGGAAGGGGAGGGAGGAGGTGAGGATGGAGTATGAGGAGGCTGTAATGAAGGAGGTGGCTGACCACCGGTGAGTCGGCTTATCAACGAGGTGCTGTTTGCTTATCAACGAGGTGCTGTTTGCTTATCAACGAGGTGCTGTTTGCTTATCAACGAGGTGTTGTTTGCTTATCAACGAGGTGTTGTTTGCTTATCAACGAGGTGCTGTTTGCTTATCAACGAGGTGTTGTTTGCTTATCAACGAGGTGTTGTTTGCTTATCAACGAGGTGTTGTTTGCTTATCAACGAGGTGTTGTTTGCTTATCAACGAGGTGCTGTTTGCTTATCAACGAGGTGTTGTTTGCTTATCAACGAGGTGCTGTTTGCTTATCAACGAGGTGCTGTTTGCTTATCAACGAGGTGCTGTTTGCTTATCAACGAGGTGCTGTTTGCTTATCAACGAGGTGCTGTTTGCTTATCAACGAGGTGCTGTTTGCTTATCAAGGAGGTGCTGTTTGCTTATCAAGGAGGTGCTGTTTGCTTATCAAGGAGCATCTCAAGCATCTCTATCGTACCACCACAGTCCGTTCCTTACCCTGCTGTTATCAATATCATACCACCCATGCAATGTGACTCCGTGTCTTCTCTCTCGTTGAAGTCATCTCTTCTTTTGTCTTCAGTCCATTCGTCGTATCCTCCTCCACAGCCTGCTAGCAGCAGTGCATGCGGGGAAAAGCAATGCCTCTCCAGCGAGGCACCATCTGTCAGCAGCAGCAGCGCTGCTCTCCTCCCTAGTCACCCTCCTCCCTAGTCACCCTCCTCCCTAGTCACCCTCCTCCACTCTCTTGCTCCCCCCACTTTCCCCCCTCCCGATCCCCTCCCCCTCTCCCGCTCTCAGCCTGCTAGCAGCAGTGCATGCAGGTCAAGGTGACGCCTCCCCAGCCGTCCACCACCTGTCAGCAGCAGCGGCGCTGCTCTCCTCCCTCCTCGCCTCGCCCTCCCCACCCTCCGCGCTCTCCCCCCTCGACCTGGCCTCTGTGCACCTCGCTACTGTTGACATCATCCTTCACTCGGGGTTGCTGCAGAGAGAGGAAGGGGAGGAGATGGGGGAGGAAGGGGAGGAGGGGGAGGAGGGGAAGCACTGGGGGAGGGGGGAGAAGGGGGGTGAAGAGGAGGCGGAGAACGGGGAGGGGATCAGTGGTAGAGAGCAGCAAGGGGAAGGACTGGGTACAGGATTAGGAGGAGTAAATGGTAGATACGAGGGAGGAGCAGAGGGAGGGGAGGGGAGAGAAGAGGCGATGGATATGGCAGTGTTGGCGCTGGAAGCACTGAAACAGTGTGTGGCGGTGCAGGGAGGGGAGTTGGGGAAGGACCACCCGGCTGTGGCGAGGACGTATGCTCTCGCTGCTGACGTGTACTGGCAGATAGGGCAGGCGGGGGAAGCTGAGGTGAGGTGGGGGGTTGGGTGCGGTGCAAAGAGTTAAGCAAGCTGTGAGCATTGAATGAGAGCGTGGGTGTGCAGGGGAGGAGTCGGGGAAGGACCACCCGGCTGTGGCGAGGACGTATGCTCTCACTGCTGACGTGTACTGGTAGATAGGGCAGGCTGAGGAGGCAGAGGTGAGCTTCGGTACAGTGCGGTGAGGAGGGGAAGGTTTGTAGTGGCAGGTAAACACTGTCTCACCCTACCACCCTGCTGTGGCAAGGATGCATGCTCTGCCTGCTGTGGCAAGGACGCATGCTCTGCCTGCTGATCTCTACTGGCAGATAGGGCAGGCAGAGGAGGCCGAGGTGAGGCAGGGGGTCAGGTCAAGTGCGGTGCAGAGAGGTTAGGCAGATGTCCACAAGTGTATTGTGAGAATCCGAGACTCGTCTTCAGCAAGATGCGCTCACGTATTCCGTGGCTTGCGTGGTCTCCCACCGTCACTCCCCCCTCACCTCACCCTCCATCATCTCTCTTCACCACCCGTCTCCTCTTTACACCCTTCCCACCCCACCACCAGAAAGTGATAAAGCAGGCAATGAAATTACCAGCCGCCGTGCCTGCAGCGCACCAGCGCAGTGAGGAGGCAGCAGCAGCGCTCTCAAACCACAGCGTTTTCTCAACACTCCCCCTCACCTCCCCTCACCTCTCTGAACCCTTTCTTTCCTGATATACCCTCCATCACAGTGAGCAAGCGAGCGATGAAGGTACTAGCAGCAGCCATGCCAGCAGCCACGAAGGAGGCAGCAGCAACGCTCTACCACCACCACATGCTACGTGTAAAAAGCCCACACGTGCGGGCATGTGAAGCCCACATGCTACCAGCAGCGCCGCTTTTTACACGTGCTCTCCCACCACCACATGCTTCTTTCATCACCCCCCTCTTCTACTTCCTTCGCCTCTCTTCTCCGTCAATATACTCACACCCCTCACCCACCACCAGAAAGTGAGCAAGAGAGCAATAAAGGTACTGGCAGCCATGCCAGCGGCGCACCAGCGCAGCAAGGAGGCAGCAGCAGCGCTCTCCCACGTGGCTCTGCACCTCAAGCGCACCGACCGCTGTGGCATGGCCGTGCCTTTATTGCAACGAGCCCTCGGTATCCGAAAGGAGCACCCGGATCATCTGCTTCAAGCCGTGGGTGAGTGGGAGTGAGGCAGAGGGAAGAGGGGGAGTTATTGGGGTAGGGAATAGAGGTGTTGTGGAAAGAGAAACAGGTGTGCGTGCGGACTGATTAGCCGCCTACGTGCTCCCTTTCCTCACTGGCAGCGAGCAGCAGTGCTCTCCCACGTGGCCCTCCATCTCAACAAGCGCACCGACCGCTGTGACATGGCCATGCCTCTGCTGCAACGAGCGCTGAGCATCAGCGGGGAACACCCCGACCACTTGTTGCAGGCCGCGTGAATCAAGTGAATTCACTTGTTTGAGACGTTTCAAAAATCTACTTATTTCGAGTGCCGAGCATCAGAAGGGAACACCCCGCCCACTTGTTGCAGGCCGTGGGTGAGTCATTGGGGGAGGAATGTGCCTGTGTGGACTGCTAGGGTAGATGGAGGAATGTGCCTGTGTGGACTGCTAGGGTAGATGGAGGAATGTGCCTGTGTGGACTGCTAGGGTAGATGGAGGAATGTGCCTGTGTGGACTGCTAGGGTTTTTGACGCGCCTCAGAAGCTGAGTGCAAGTGCGTGAGGGTGCAAGTGCGTGAGGGTGCAAGTGCGTGAGGGTGCAAATGCGTGAGGGTGCAAATGTAGGAGGGAACACCCGACCGCGTGCTGCAGGCCGTGGGTGAGTCAGTGTGTGAGAGTTTCTTTCTTTTGAGACGTCTCAAAAGTCAGTGTGTGAGAGTTTCTTTCTTTTGAGACGTCTCAAAAGTCAGTGTGTGAGAGTTTCTTTCTTTTGAGACGTCTCAAAAGTCAGTGTGTGAGAGTTTCTTTCTTTTGAGACGTCTCAAAAGTCAGTGTGTGAGAGTTTCTTTCTTTTGAGACGTCTCAAAAGTCAGTGTGTGAGAGTTTCTTTCTTTTGAGACGTCTCAAAAGTCAGTGTGTGAGAGTTTCTTTCTTTTGAGACGTCTCAAAAGTCAGTGTGTGAGAGTTTCTTTCTTTTGAGACGTCTCAAAAGTCAGTGTGTGAGAGTTTCTTTCTTTTGAGACGTCTCAAAAGTCAGTGTGTGAGAGTTTCTTTCTTTTGAGACGTCTCAAAAGTCAGTGTGTGAGAGTTTCTTTCTTTTGAGACGTCTCAAAATTCAGTGTGTGAGAGTTTCTTTCTTTTGAGACGTCTCAAAAGTCAGTGTGTGAGAGTTTCTTTCTGTGTTCCTTTTTTGTTACCCTTTCCAGTCCCTTTCATCCCCTTTTGTAAATGACATGGCTTCCCAGTCCCTTCCATCCCCTTCCCCTTTTGTAAATGACATGGCTTCCCAGTCCCTTCCATCCCCTTCCCCTTTTGTAAATGACATGGCTTCCCAGTCCCTTCCATCCCCTTCCCCTTTTGTAAATGACATGGCTTCCCAGTCCCTTCCATCCCCTTCCCCTTTTGTAAATGACATGGCTTCCCAGTCCCTTCCATCCCCTTCCCCTTTTGTAAATGACATGGCTTCCCAGTCCCTTCCATCCCCTTCCCCTTTTGTAAATGACATGGCTTCCCAGTCCCTTCCATCCCCTTCCCCTTTTGTAAATGACATGGCTTCCCAGGCCCTTCCATCCCCTTCCCCTTTTGTAAATGACATGGCTTCCCAGTCCCTTCCATCCCCTTTTGTAAATGACATGGCTTCCCAGTCCCTTCCATCCCCTTTTGTAAATGACATGGCTTCCCAGTCCCTTCCATCCGCCACTCCCCTCTCCTCCATTTTGCCTCATTCCCTTTTCCCCGTTTCCCCCCCTCCCAGGCACAGCAACAGACCTTGCCTCTCTCCTCCTCTCCCTCCGCCGCCCCAACGAAGCCCTCCCGATCCTCCTCTCCGCCCTCCCCTCCCTCCGCTCCTTCCTCGGCCCCTCCCACGCCGCCTCCCTCCCCCTCCTCTCTCTCCTCTCCGCGACCCACTCTTCTCTTGACCAATGGAGCGAGGCTGCTGGAGTGGTGGGGGAGATGTGGGAGGTGGTGAGGGGGGAGGCTATGGGGGAGGCTATGAGGGGAGATGAGGCGGCGATTGGCATGTGGATACCGCTGGCAGATGCGTTGGGGAGTGAGGAGAGGTGAGAAGGTTTGAGGAGGGGTGAGAAGGATTGAGGAGGGGTGAGAAGGATTGAGGAGGGGTGAGAAGGAGTGAGCAGAGGTGAGACAGGGTGAGGTACGGGAAGGAGTCTTTTCATTGCCTAGGGTATGGGGGAGGCTATGAGGGGCGATGAGGTGGCGATTGGCATGTGGATACCGCTGGCAGATGCTCTTGGGAGTGAAGAGAGGTGAGAAGGAGTGAGGAGAGGTGGAAAACGGTGAGAAGGAGAGAACATATAAAAGACGGGGTTCTTTTATTGCGTAGGGTATTGAGAATGATATGAGGGGCGATGAGGCGGCGATTGGGATGTGGATACCCCTCGCAGATGCGTTGGGGAGTGAGGAGATGTGAGATGGGACGAGCAGAGCTGAGACAGGAAAGGGTAAGGGGAGGGAGATTTTCATTGTTTATGGTACAGAGGAGGCTATGAGGGGTGATGAGGCGGCCATTGGCATGAGGATACCACTGGCAGATTCGTTGGGGAGGGGTGAAGAGAGGTGAGCAGGAGTGAGAAGGGGTGGGAAACGATGAGGATGATATGAGGGGTGATGAGGCGACCATTGGCATGTGGATACCCCTAGCAGATGCGTTAGGGAGTGAGGCGAGGTGAGCATGCACTGGGTGGGAAGTGGTGAGGAGAGGTGGGAAGGATTGAGGAGGGGTGATGAATTGGGAGAGATGGGGACGGCAGGGTGAGGAGAGTGAGAAGGAGGTGACAAAAAGGAGAGAAAAGAGGTGAGCAAGCTGTTGTGTGCGAGCAGGCACAGAATAGTACCCATTGACAAGCTGGTCACTATTCTGTCAGCGTGGCCTAGGTGGATACATCTCAACAGCAGCAGCAGTTGACTTGCGAGACGTCTCAAAAGTACTATTCTGCTAAAGAGCAGTAACGTCTGTTTGGTTATCTCGTGCTGCGAGGCAAGCAGCCAGGGTTACGATACCCGCTGTTGTTACTCTTTGCTGTGATCATCCTTCCGCTCGCTCTTGTTCCTCACCTGTCGCTCTCCTCACCATTCTCTCATCCTTCCTACTCGTTTGTCACTCTCTGCCTGCAGGTTCCTTCTGCTGCAGCAAGCAGTGGAGCAGGCAGCAAGAGGAGCAGAGGCAGGGGGGAAGAGCAATGGAAGGGGAGAGGCAGGGGAGGATGCATCAGCTAGAACTCGCTGGCTTGAGGTGCTGAGGGAGATGACAATGATTGGTAGCGGCTGATCATGCTAGTTATCATCAATGTTTGATAGCGGCTAGTTACGGTATGTGCTTTGAGGTGACTTAGCTAGCTGGCTCGAGGTGCTGAGGGAGATGACAATCATCAATAGCGGCTGATTATGCCGTTCCAACTTGCAACACCACAAAGTCTTTGCAATATCAGTAGTGTACAACCAGTGTGTTTTCGGTTTGGGACATGGCAAACCCATTTCCGTACCTAACTGAGTCTGCTGGGTGCACAGATCCATTTTTTCGGAAGACCAAGCTCGGCCCGGAGATCTTGCCTTCTGGGCCTGCCTCGCGTCACTTTCAGACTTCTCGCAACCAGACCTGTGCAAAACATAAACTTTCTAGGTCCCTGCCTGGGTCCTTTGTTTGGCCTAGTTCTCATTTGTATGACAAGGTGAAATGGCTTCTTTCTGGGCACTCTTCCTTTACAATTCATACCGTAACAATATCACTCTCAGTTACGTTTTTCAACGGTGCAGAGGCATTCCACGGATCCGTGCTGCACCATCGACGGGCCAATCTGTGGGACGGGACGCATTTTCGAAAGGCGCGACATGTGCTGCGAACCTCGCAGCACATTTCGCAGTTCACTGGAAATATTGCCGAGGTATTCCATCTGTAGCTGACGGAAACACTAGCGCTCATTCTGTAGCGGTTCATTACGTTTCCGAGTGGTTCGTATGGTTCCCACCAACTTCGGCAATCCCTCACAACATTCTCAAGGAGCAACCAATAATTGCCACTTCTATCCATGGCTTCCACACCACACCAAGCATTCCCTTCTTCCAGCCAGACCCTCTTTGTCCATATAATATATGGAGCTGGAAGCCTTTTTCTCACGAATAAGACGCGTCGGCTCCGGAAAAACGCCTGACATGTCCGTCGAGACCCGAACACCCAGAATTATTGGAACGACTCGTCCATGTATCGCCAGATTTCGTCCGGACGCGGCTTGTACCATCCGCAAAAGCCGCCATGTCCAGGATGATCCGCATCCCAACCGAGCCCGTAATTGTGAAAGCTACATCAGGCGACAAATCTACACTGGATTTTCTGCATGGTATGCATTGCACGAGCTGCGGAGGTTTCACAGACGCCGGAACATACGAGCGGCCGAGGAAACCAAAGGCGCCACGGCTCCGGCAGTTCGTTATGCACGGTAGCAATGGAGTCGACTCAAATGGCAGCAGTAGCAGTATTTATGCTCGAGCTTCCCCTCCCTAGTAATAATCTTTCCTTCTCATACTCCATCGATTTGCACCTGAAAGTTGTCGGTTACGAGTCTGCCAGTCCGCGTTTCAATTATACCTGGGTATATTTTCCAGGCACTCGCATCAGCCGAGAGAACTACAGATTCCGTTAAAACTTTCAGGTCTCTAATCTCTGAGCCTTTTTCCTCCCGAACGCGCACCTGCGTTGGTCACAGTTCCGTGGATTTTCGTTGATCTCGCATACTTTCACTGAACCGCAATTGAGGGGTGGTTTTGGCCACGCGGCATTGCTCCGACTGGCCCTTGCCTGACGAAGCTTCCTCGGAGTGAATGGCGACTGCCGTAAGTACATTATCGAACTGCACCATTTAACACCCATTTCTCTCCCTTTCCCGCACTACCATATTTATCTCTTTTTCGATTTATGCAACCACTCAGGAAACACGTCCTTCTCAATTGTCCAAAAAAATCCGCCCGTATTCTGCCACCCCTTTCCCGTCGCCGTCTGGTGCCCGGCAGGCATCGCGTGCGACGCTCGGTGTCCGTCGCACAGGCCACGCCGTCGTTAATCGTCGCCTGCTCGTCCCCGTCACTGCGCGACACGAAAGCATGCGAGCGACTTGCTCCATTGTGCGCGCCTCGTTCCGCCGTTCCCAAGCTTTCTCAACCGTTCAGCTGGCACTCGTGGCGCTGCTGGCGGTGGCATTCACAGCCCATAACGCGGCTGCTTCTATCGTGTACCGCAGTGCGGGTGTGCATGCTACTAGCGGGGTTCCCATGCGGAACCTCGGACGGTGGCGCGCGCAGGAAGGGGCGATGACAGCAGGAGGGCGCGCACTGATCAGCAGCAACCGCATCAGCATCAGCGGCAGCAGCAGCGGTGGCGGTAGCAGCGGCGGTATTGGCAGCGGAGGGGAAGGCGGGGAGATTCCCGAGTGGGCGCGGAGCGAGGTGTTGCGGTTTGAGACCGCGCGCGCGCGCCAGCTGGGGCAGGCGGAGGAGGATGAGGCGGAGCGGGTGAAGCGGGCGGAGAAGGCAGAGATGGCGCGCGCGCTGTGGGAGGAGACGGAGGCGCAGTTCGAAGGGCGGCTGCAGGAGTGGCGCAGGCAGAGCGCGCGCCTGCAGGGGATGGCGCAGCGGAAGCGGGAGAAGCGCGCCAGGCGCGCCAGACGCAAGTGGGCGCGCGCTCAGAGAAAGGCGAAACGGGCGCACGCACGGGCGGAAAGGAGCAGCAGCGGCGTTTACGCTGTAAGCAGCATTGGTGGTAGCGGTGATGGTAGCGATGGCGGTTATGGTTCTTCTGCAGTGCGAGCGGCGAGCCCGACAGACGAGGAGCTATTGGATCTCATGCCGGGAGGCACGCGCTCCTGGCAGAACCTTAAAGCCTCCACTACCCGCTCCTCCTCAGCGTCCCCCTCCGCCTTCTCTGCCTCCATTGCCTCCTCCGATTCCTCTTCTTCCTCCTCCGCTTCCAACTCTTCTTCTTCCTCCTCCGGATCGGATGGTAAGAACGTCACGGCAACCCCGACCCCGTGGGAGGAGAATCGGCCGGCGGGAGAGTCCCCATGCAGCCCCAGGAGCACCGCACCGGTGATCAACGTCACCACTCTGGACCACATTCTATCACGCACGCAGTACCCGCCCACCCAGACGGTCACCTTGGTGCTGCAGACATCAATCACGCTCAACCACTCGCTGCTGCTCGACTCCAACTTCTCCTGCACCATCTTCCAGGCAGATACGCTTCCCAGCGAGCATGTATTGGAGATCACCACTGATACAGAGCCCGTGCTCCAGGTGCGTTCCTTTCTTTGAGGGGTGTTGGAGTCGTTTGAAATGAAAAGAGTTGAATTTCTCCTGCACTATCTTCCAGTTGGACACGCTTCCTTCCCAGCGAACACGTTCTGGAGATCACCACTGACACAGAGCCAGTGCTGCAGGTGCGTTGTGAGATGTTTTGGAGCTCGTTCATGCTGCTGCTCGACTCTAAGGCCGCGTGTCCTTGAGCTCGACTCTAACTTCTCCTGCACCATCTTCCTATCCGACTCGCTCCCCAGCGAGCATGCTTTGGAGATCACCACCGATATAGAGCCCGTGCTTCAGGTGCGTTTCTGAGCCTTCTTGAAACTTGATTTTCCCAGCACTATCTTCCCATCAGACACACTATTACCACTCTAGGACTGAGAGCCTGCCTTTTTGAGTCATCTAGATCACAACCCACCGACAATCACTGCTGACTGACGCTGAGCCTGTTCTGTGCTGCAGGTGCACAATCCCCACTGACAATCATGACACGGCTCACACTGACCCTCTGTGCTGTGCGGTACTATGCTGCAGGTGCACAATGCAAGCAACATGGTGTTTATCGGGATCGGCCTGAGGAGTCCTGTCAGAAACGGGTCAGCTTATTGCGAGTCCCTGCCCGAGTATGGGAATCTGTTGGGGAACGACCTGCTGTGCCCCGCTCTGCTCATCTACAGGTTCGTTTCTGGTTCATTTTGGGGTTCGTTCTGAAGTGAGTTTCTGTAGATCATTTTGGGGGCTCATAGAATTCGGGCTGCAATGGTTGCTCTTCTGCTAATTCCAAAAAAGATTGTTGTGGCTGCTAACTGGCCTGCTGTCCCTGCTGCTGCTGCTGCTGCTGCTGCTGCTGCTGCTGCTGCTGCTGCTGCTGCTGCTGCTGCTGCTGCTGCTGCTGCTGCTGCTGCTGCTGCTGCTGCTGCTGCTACTCCCCTTGTGCTTGCCTTGCCTGCAGGTCGTATGGCATTCAGTTCACGCAGGCGTCAGTGGTGGGGCTCATAGCAGGTGCTAGACTCGCTCTTTCTATTCTCACTAGGCCCGTCTCCTCTGCCTGTTGCTGCTGCTGTCCCCTCCCCCGTCCTTGCCTTGCCTGCAGGTCGTATGGCATTCAGTTCACGCAGGCATCAGTGGTGGGGCGGATAGACGTGTTCCGCTGCGCATACACGAAGCTGGACTCGCTCTTTGCCACGGCGCCGTGGGACTTCCAGTACCACCCGGGGGTCATCCGCATGGGCATGAGTGGCATAGGCGTCAACCTCACCTCCTCCGAGAATATCGTCTCCAATAACGATCTCTTTGGCGCGTGGGAGCTCATCTATCTCTATCGGGGGACCATTGGAGCTACTGTGAGGAACAATTTCCTCCACGACTACCTCTTCTCAGGCTTCAGGTGCGGTGATTAGCGTAAACAGAGCGGTGCAGCGCGATGTGTGGCTCTAAACATCCACGTTCAACGCGCAGTGTATAAAGCTTCGCTATCAATCAATTACAGATATGTTGGGCTAGCAGTGCTCCCTCTTTATTCGCCCTTACGAACTATCTTATCTCATTTCCCCCTCTGTTCCCACCGCCGTTACACACACATCTTATCTCATTCCCCCCTCTGTTCCCACCGCCCTTACACACTATCGTATCTCATTCCCCGCTCTGTTTCCACCCTTCCACACTATCTTATCTCATTCCCTTCTCTGTTCCCACCTCCCTTACACACTATCTTATCTCATTCCCCCCTCTGTTTCCACCTCCCTTACACACTATCTTATCTCATTCCCCCCTCTGTTCCCTTACACGCTATCTTATCTCATTCCCCGTGCACAGGTGTGGTGCAGACGTGCATTTTGCATGGGACTGTGCGCTCACAACAGTGAAGCACAACTTTGTGTTCTCCCCACAGAAGAAGAACCTCACAGGCGACTCTGCAGGCATCTACTTCTGCACACACTGGTTCAACCCCGGTGAGTATTAGCCCTTCTGGAATTTCTGATACTGGTAACCCCAGCGAGCCTTCAATCAAAACCCATTGATCTTGGGTCAACCCAGTGAGCTTGGTCAACCCGAATAAATGTTCAACCACGAAAGCCTTCAACCTCAACCGCATTGCACCGCACTCCACCCCACCCCATGCAGGCAACACGGTGAGCTGCAACTATGTGATCGGCGGGGACCACTGCTACTACCTGGACTACTGCACGTCAGGCGTGGCCATTCAGGGGGGCGTGTGCCTGCAGCTGTGGGACGGTGTGAAGCTCAACAACGGCAAGAGGAACCACATCCGCAGCCTGCTCATGGTGGGGCTGGGCCAGAGCCCCGGCTACATCACGTGCTTGACTGTCACACTGAATCACTGCGGGAAGGACCCTGGGTCCTATTGGGAGGCCATGCGGAAGCTTTACTACGATACACCTGAGATCAATAAGGTGAGGGTTAATTACCCTGAAATAACAGACTCCGTCCTTGTCTCACTACTCCACTGCAAAAAACGTCTCCACACCCTCTTCTTCCATCCATCTCCACCCCTCTCCATTCCTCTCCACTCCTCTTCACTCCTTTCCAAATTTCTCCACTTCTCTCCACCCCTCTTCTCTCTCCACCCCTCTCCACTCCTCTGCACCCCTCTCCAAACCCCCATTCCCCATTCCTCCTACCAGGAATGGCCGTGGATGAAGCATGTGTGTCGGCAGACGCGCATCGGCACGTACAGCTGCAACCCGCACGGCGAGCTCTCAGCACACGAAACCGGCGCGTGCAGCGGGCTCGCGACAGAAAACGACGTTGAATACATCGTGGTCGATTCGGACACGCCGCGCGACGCGGAATATCGCTACTGCGAGCGCAGCCCGGGAACAAAAAACCTGAACCGCCAGGTTGTCTACAGGTACAGTGGCGACGAAATGAAATTCACGGATTATAAAAACAGTGATTTTGGAGTTTCGGAGGGGTCGGTGGTGCTCGCGAATCACCCGGATTTCGTTTCCTGCCCGAGAGAAGATATCGGGATAAAGGCGGTTTCGATACACTCGTATTACAAGGATTGGAATATTCCGGAGCCTCCGTTTTTCCAGGCTATGCTGGACCTGCCTTACAAAATGGTGTTTAATAATGAACTGTATTAAGGTAGGTTAAGATATTCAGGTCTCTAGTGTGTGTAGCGGAATAAATCATGGCACCTTGATAGCTTACCGTATGCTTGTTCTGTCTTGCACAATAAAGTGCCATAGAATCTTCATTTTCCAAGGTCCCTGTTATCAATACCTTTACTTCATAGTGAGTGATTTCACTTTTGTACCTTGCACTAGTCAGAGCGTATTCCTGCACCTCGTATCAAGTGAACCTCGTATCAAGCGGACCCTAAACGCCTGGTAAAACTAGCGAGAGATAAACCGCCTGGTAAAACTAGCGAGCCTGATACTAGGATGCTTGATAAGAGACGTAGGAATACGCTCGTACACTCATAAGACACACTACGACATCGAATTCGCACTACTCTGCATTCCGTATGCAATTAATCAGCAACCTGCAGAGCTCCTCGTCGTTTGCAGTGGTGATGACAGCAGCATTACCCAGCAATGCTGCATCATCCACCATTTGAGCATCTCACACACTTAGCTAGGATACCGCTCCTCTTCTCCAAAGTCCATGGCTCTGATTCTCCTACCACTGCTGCTGGTGATGATGCTGCAGATGATGTTAAGAGCATCTCACACCTACCAGTCCTCTTCCCCAAAGTCCATGGCTCTGATTCTCCTACCCCCTCTCGACCGCCCTCCACCAGCCATTGCTGAGGACAACACTGACCCATCCTCCACGCCCCCTAGCCCGGGTGGCAACGGCGGGGGAGAGGACGGGCGGTGGTGCTGCAATGCGCTGAAGCGGGGAGAAAACAGGGCAGAAGGACTCATATCACCAGCACCACCACCAGCAACAACAGCAGCAGCACCACCACCAGCAGCGGCAACGGCAGCGGCAGTGGAGGAAGGGCTAAGGTCAGAGTCAGCAGCGAGGGCAGTGAGGGGTTGTCGTTCCGAGGCCGTGGTGGGGCCGTGGGAGTGGATGGTGGCAAACTCCTGCCAGTGCAGATGCTGCTCCGTCTGCCTCCACTTGTGCATGGCATAGAGTGTCCACACAGCCATGGGGAGAACCGCAATGGTGATGATGACAGCTAAGATCAGGAGATCTGCGGGAGAAAGGGGCCGGGGTTTACAGAGAGGGAAAGGGATGGTTGATCAGATTCAAGAGCAACAGCGTGAAGAGCAGTGGACGCAGTGAGGGGTTGTGTTTCGGAGGCTGTGGTGGGGCTGTGGGAGTGGATGGTGGCAAACTCCTGCCAGTGCAGATGCTGCTCCGTCTGCCTCCACTTGTGCATGGCGTAGACCACCCACACAGCCATGGGAAGGACAGCGTTGTGACAATGACAGCAAGGAGTAGGAGGTCTGGGGGGGAGGGGGGAGGAAGGGGGGTGAGGAGAAGCCAAGCGATGGATGGATAAGTCGAGCTCCTGACCATGGCTGTCAGTCCAGGCCGGGCCATGGGGATGGAAGGGCTGGTGTTCAATGGAACACCATGTAGGTGCCATCGTTCAATACGTGGCAGCAATTGTTGGTAAAGAACACCTTGGTGGTAGTTTCTTCGAGTGCTTGTTTGAAAACTCTAGTGTAAAAAAATCGTTGGTAATCAGTTTCGGCATATGAGCCTTCTTCAGACCACAAAGAGCCCTAAATGAGAACGAGCATTACTTATAGCCTTGAAAATCTTAACCAGGAACTAAGCTTACGCGGGAATGTCCTCGCGGAGGAATTGGGGACGATGGAAAGGTGAAATAAGAGGAAACCGTAAAAATTATTGTACCCTAACACTTGTTTGCAAAAAATATATAATTTCCAACTCTCTTTAGTAGCCTCCATGCAATAATAGCTCTTCTTGCAGAAAAAGTGCCATGTGCCATTGTAACAAGGTGAATTTTGAGTCAATAAAAAATTCACCTCCCTAAAAATACCTTGTTTCTCCTTCAGTGTGCCCATGAACACCGAAACGGTTTTCAAAGCTGTTCTTCTTAAGGTCATTAATGGTGCCATTCATCCCGCTCTCAGCCAGAAAGCTGGCAACCTTGGTAAGACGGTGCTTACATTCTTCGTGACGTTTCTCGGCGTGCCGGCGGAAACGCTGACAAGACGTGAGGACGCAAGGAAGCTGGTGGAGGAGATGTTGTGCCTCTTCACCTCAGCGCGCAGCAAGGCCAGCGATACCAAAGTGCTGTCGGAGGTAGCCACCCCGAACCTAATCCGCTCCCCGTGTAATGCTCGCTCAGTCATTTGCGATGTTGTTCTGAGCACCTGATTTACTCATAGGTGCTCATCACGCTGCCCACCAACTTCGATCTGTCGAAGGACTTCGTCCAGATCGAAGTTGGCGAGCACCTATGAGTAAAACAAGTGCTGAAAACTACACCTCAAACGACGGAGCGAGCATAACACAGGGAGCGGAACGGGAGCGGGGTTGCTACGTCTGACAACACTTTGGTAACGTTGACCTTGCTGCGCGCTGAGGTGAAGAGACACAATATCTCCTCCTCCAGCTTCCTTGCGTCTTCGTGTCCTGAAGACGTTTTCGCGTCCAGCACGCCAAGGAACACCATGAAGAATGTGAGTATCAACTTACCATAGCTGCCGACTTTTTGGCTGAGAGCGGGTTAAGTGGCTGCACCAGTGACTTAAAAAAGAACAGCCCAAAATTTGTTTCGATGTTCACGGGCATACTGGAAGAGAAGCAATGTATTTTTAGGGAGGCCACTTTTGTGTCGACTCAAAAGGAGCACAGCAATGGTGACAATGACGGCAAGGAGTAGGAGGTCTGGGAGGGTGGGGGAGGAAGGGTGGGCCAAGGGATGGATGTATAAGGCAAGTTCATGGCCATGGCTATCAGTCCAAGCCCGGCCATGGGGATGGAAGGGCTGGTGTTGCAGTGCTCCCCGTGGCTGTCAGTCCAAGCCACCAATCACCCATCCCCCCTCTCCACCCGTCCTTCCGTCCACCCCTTTAATCCTTGATGCATCCATCCCTCCCCCACTCACCTGCTAGGCCTCGTTTTCTTGGTGCCGCCACCAACGCACCCAGCACTCCTGGTGCTGCTGCCAGGCAGTCCCGAGACCCTGAGGTGAGTATTACAGGTGGGATGGGGAGGGGAGGGGGAGGAGGGGGAGTTTGAGTGAGTTGAGGGCAGAGGGGTGGAGTAGGGTGGCTAACACCAACACACCCACCCAGCACTCTTGATGCTGCTGCCAGGCAGTCCCGAGACCCTGGATGGAGTTGGGAGGGTGGGAGGGGGGAGAGGCGGTTACTGAGTGAGTTAAGAGGGGTGGAGTAGGGTGGCCAACACCAACACACCCAGCACTACCGATGCCACTGTCAGGCAGTCCCGAGACCCGTGGGAGTGTTTTGTGGTGTGGGGGAGAGTGGCACAGCCTGAGCGAGTTAAGGTTGGAGCAAGAAAGCACGGCAATCAACACGCTCAGCACACCTGATGGAGCTGATGACAGTCCCGAGAACCTGGGTGGGCAGGAAAGGGCGTGATTGTGTGAGTGAAGGGATGAGGGATGCAGTAGGTAGGGTGGCAAACGCAAACACGGGACGGGAGACGGGTGAGTGGGAGTGAGTGTCTTGGTGGAGGGAGAAGGGTTGAGGTTGACAGGAGTAAGAGGGCAATGTGATGTGCCTTGGAAGGTTGACACACGAGGGCGGCCACTGATGAATGAATTTTGAGGCGCCTCAAAAGTCGTGGGAGTGAGCGTGTTGCTGGAGGGAGAAGGGGTGAAGTTGACAGGAGTATGAGGGCAATGTGATGTGCCTTGGAAGGTTGACACACAAGGGCGGCTACTGTTGATTGAAGGTAACGACGTTTGTCACACCCTAGCCCCTGAAGGATGGTTCAGAAGCGCATAACAAGACTGCTCACAAAGAGACAGAACTTATTTATGGGGATTCAGGGTTTAGGGTTGATCAGGATTCTGAATGAAATACTTACGGAGGTATTTAAGGGCGGTGGCGGGGAAGTCAGAGAAGAGCCCATCCACTCCCACCGCCTCCACAAACATGGCATACTCGTTCAGTGGGTCCTGAGGCGACAGGGAGAGAGATGGGAAGACACGAGGGGAGAGAAGTGGGATGAAGGGAGGAATGGGACAGTCCATCTACTCCCACCGCCTCCACAAACACGGTATACTCGTTCAGCGGGTCCTGAGGCGACAGATGGGAAGAAACGAGGGGAGAGAAGTGAGATGAAGGGAGGGATGGGAGATTCCACAGACTCCCACCGCCTACACAAATGGCGTGTACTCGTTCAGAGGGTCCTGATATGAGGGGTGAGTTGGATGGCATGAGTGGATGGAAGGAGAGACGAAGGGAGGAAAGACGAAGAAAGGGATAGAAAAGTCCATCCACTCCCACCAAGTGAAATAACATGGTAGACTTGTTCAGAGGGGCCTGGGAAGAGGGGCGGAGAGGGGTGCTGGAAGGAGGGATGAAGGGAGGAGGGATGAAGGGAGGAGGCATGAAGTAAGGATAGGAGAGTCCATCCCCTACGTCGCAGGTAAAGGAAGAGAGGGGGAGCACTTATAAGTTCATAAGCTTTGGAGTGCGGGGGAGGAAGGGAGCACTCACCAATTCGTAACTGAGGGAGAGGAAGATCCAGTCATTTGCAAAGGGCCAGGGCAGCACGGCAAGCTGGCGGGCCGGGTCGTGAGCGAGGGGGACGAGGTCGGCCTGGTTGAGCAGCTTCTTGTGCCACGACTCCACTGGCAGCACCAGATGTGGTGAACTCTAGCGGACACTCACCAATTCATAGCTCAGCGATAGGAAAATCCAGTCGTTTGCAAAAGGCCAGGGTAACACGGCGAGCTGGCGGGCTGGGTGGTGCGCGAGGGAGACGAGATCCGTCTGGTTGAGCAGCTTCTTGTGCCACGACTCCACCGGCAGCACCAGATGCTTCTCTGGTGCGATGGCCACGGCGTAGAGTGATATGGCGTCCAGGATGCAGGCTTGCAGGGAAGCGGTTGGAGGGCAGGAAGGAGGCGGGGCCTGCAGGATGGGGTTGGTGTCGGATGGCTGGGAAGGGAAGAGGGAAAAGCGGGAGGAGGGAGGATGGAAGAGGGAGAAAGGGATGGTTTGTAGGGAACCAGGATACAGTCTGCTTCTTGTGCCATGACTCCACCGGCAGCACCAGATGCTTCTCTGGTGCGACGGCCACGGCGTAGAGTGATATGACGTCCAGCATGCAGGCTCGGAGAGGGGTGGTGGGGGGACAGGAGGGAGGAGGGGTCTGCAGGATGGGGTTGGTGTCCGATGGCTGGGGAAAAGGGGGTGAGAGAGACAGGAGAACAGAGAAGAGAAGGGGATTGTTTGAGTTCAGAGAAAGTATGAAGGGGTCTGGTCTGGTTGAGAAGGTGCTTGTGCCACCATGTACAGGAGGTTGGACTTAAAGCGCACAAGATCCCACCTCTCCCCACCTCATTCCACCCCTCCTCGCCCCATCCCACCCCACCTCACCTCGTCCCACCCCGCCTCCAGGATCTGCACGAGGGGGATGGAGGTGCGTTGGCTGCAGTAGACCAGGGCAGCGAAGCTCCTCGCCTCTAACACCGCCGGGTGAACAGCCGCCCATTCAACCACCTCACCCCAACCCATCCACCCCTCCTCGCCCCGTCCCACCCCTCCTCACCTCGTCCCACCCCTCCTCACCCCATCCCATCCCTCCTCACCTCGTCTCAACCTTCCTCACCTCGTCCCACCCCGCCTCCAGGATCTGCACGAGGGGAATGGAGGTGCGTTGGCTGCAGTAGACCAGAGCAGAGGCGCTCCTCGCCTCTATCACCACCAGGTGCACTGCTGTGTCCAGCACAATCCGCCCCCCGGCCGTAGCAGCACCAGCTGCAGGAGCATTGTGAGTAGAAATGGTGGTGGTGCTGATGCTAGCAAGGCGGTCACTCAAAGAGGCAGTGGGGGCGGAGGAAGCGGTGAGGGTGTTGAAGGGGTTGGAAGGGCGGGGAGGTGGCTGCAGGTTGTTAACGCTGAGAAGAGTGAGGAGCGACTCGAGTAAAGGGCACCCGATGAACTCGTGGAATTCAGGGTACTGAGGGCAGGTCGGGTTGCAGGGGGGAGGACGGAGAGAGGGAAGAGAGAATGGGGTAATTTGAAAGTAAGCATGGTGCAATGCAGGTTGTTGATGCTGAGAAGAGTGAGGAGTGACTCGAGTAGCGGGCACCCGATGGACTTGTTGAATTCAGGGTAATGGGGGTGTGTTGCAGGGACAAGGATGGAAAGGGAGGATAGAGTAAGGATTGAGTATTGAGTGTTTGAAGCAAGTCATTCTCGAGTCAATTTACGAGGGACGTGACACCACTCTTCTTTCATCTCATCCCTTTTCGAGGCGCCTCAAAACTCTTCTTTCATCTCATCCCTTCACTTTTTTCCCTTCCCTCCTCCTTCCATTTCCCACCACCACCACTCACTCTGGGTTCCAGCATCAGCCCCACGGGTCGGTTGCCTCTAGCAGCGAGCAGCTCGGGGTTTTGATTGGAGGAGAGAACGAGGGCGAGCACAGCAGAGAGAGTGGGGATGGATAAACGGCCGTGAAGGGTCTTGTCCCGCCACTGGTATCGCTGCTCCACTGCTCTGCAGGGAAGGGAGTAGAGGGAGGAGGGAGAGAGATATGTGTGCAGGCATTTGTACTGGCTGGTGTACTGGCTGGTGTACTGGCTGGTGTACTGGCGTTAATTGGCGGAGAGCATGGGGGAGAGCATGGGGGAGAGCATGGGGGAGAGCATGGGGGAGAGCACAGCTGGAGAGCGTGGAGATGGATAAACGGCCGTGAAGGGTCTTGTCTCGCCACTGGTATCGCTGCTCCACTGCTCTGCAGGGAAGGGAGGGGATGAGGGGGAAAAGGAAGGGAATGTGTGTAGCAGTGCGTACCCCCTCCTCCCTCCTCCCCCCTTCCCCACTTGCCATCACAACACACACACACACACACACACACACACACACACACACACACACACACTCCTTGTGTACAGAGCTGCTCCACTGCTCTGCAGGGAAGGGAGGAGATGAGGAGGAAACGGATGGGAAGGAGGGCGAGCACAACAGAAACCGATTGAATGGGCAGACAGATGATGAGCACTTGAGAGTTCCTGCAGGCATGTTAACTTGAGTTCACTCAGCTCTTGGTGGTGCCAAACCCACCTCTCTGGGCACCGAAAACACCACTATGTGCCAAACCCACCTCTCTGGGCACCGAAAACACCACTATGTGCCAAACCCACCTCTCTGGGCACCGAAAACACCGCTATGTGCCAAACCCACCTCTCTGGGCACCGAAAACACCGCTATGTGCCAAACCCACCTCTCTGGGCACCGAAAACACCGCTATGTGCCAAACCCACCTCTCTGGGCACCGAAAACACCGCTATGTGCCAAACCCACCTCTCTGGGCACCGAAAACACCACTATGTGCCAAACCCACCTCTCTGGGCACCGAAAACACCACTATGTGCCAAACCCATCTCTCTGGGCACCGAAAACACCACTATGTGCCAAACCCACCTCTCTGGGCACCGAAAACACCACTATGTGCCAAACCCACCTCTCTGGGCACCGAAAACACCGCTATGTGCCAAACCCACCTCTCTGGGCACCGAAAACACCGCTATGTGCCAAACCCACCTCTCTGGGCACCGAAAACACCACTATGTGCCAAACCCACCTCTCTGGGCACCGAAAACACCACTATGTGCCAAACCCATCTCTCTGGGCACCGAAAACACCACTATGTGCCAAACCCACCTCCCTGGGCACCGAAAACACCACTATGTGCCAAACCCACCTCTCTGGGCACCGAAAACACCGCTATGTGCCAAACCCACCTCTCTGGGCACCGAAAACACCGCTATGTGCCAAACCCACCTCTCTGGGCACCGAAAACACCACTATGTGCCAAACCCACCTCTCTGGGCACCGAAAACACCGCTATGTGCCAAACCCACCTCTCTGGGCACCGAAAACACCACTATGTGCCAAACCCACCTCTCTGGGCACCGAAAACACCGCTATGTGCCAAACCCACCTCTCTGGGCACCGAAAACACCGCTATGTGCCAAACCCACCTCTCTGGGCACCGAAAACACCACTATGTGCCAAACCCACCTCTCTGGGCACCGAAAACACCACTATGTGCCAAACCCATCTCTCTGGGCACCGAAAACACCACTATGTGCCAAACCCACCTCTCTGGGCACCGAAAACACCACTATGTGCCAAACCCACCTCTCTGGGCACCGAAAACACCGCTATGTGCCAAACCCACCTCTCTGGGCACCGAAAACACCGCTATGTGCCAAACCCACCTCTCTGGGCACCGAAAACACCACTATGTGCCAAACCCACCTCTCTGGGCACCGAAAACACCACTATGTGCCAAACCCATCTCTCTGGGCACCGAAAACACCACTATGTGCCAAACCCACCTCTCTGGGCACCGAAAACACCACTATGTGCCAAACCCACCTCTCTGGGCACCGAAAACACCGCTATGTGCCAAACCCACCTCTCTGGGCACCGAAAACACCGCTATGTGCCAAACCCACCTCTCTGGGCACCGAAAACACCACTATGTGCCAAACCCACCTCTCTGGGCACCGAAAACACCGCTATGTGCCAAACCCACCTCTCTGGGCACCGAAAACACCGCTATGTGCCAAACCCACCTCTCTGGGCACCGAAAACACCACTATGTGCCAAACCCACCTCTCTGGGCACCGAAAACACCACTATGTGCCAAACCCATCTCTCTGGGCACCGAAAACACCACTATGTGCCAAACCCACCTCCCTGGGCACCGAAAACACCACTATGTGCCAAACCCACCTCTCTGGGCACCGAAAACACCGCTATGTGCCAAACCCACCTCTCTGGGCACCGAAAACACCGCTATGTGCCAAACCCACCTCTCTGGGCACCGAAAACACCACTATGTGCCAAACCCACCTCTCTGGGCACCGAAAACACCACTATGTGCCAAACCCACCTCTCTGGGCACCGAAAACACCACTATGTGCCAAACCCATCTCTCTGGGCACCGAAAACACCACTATGTGCCAAACCCACCTCCCTGGGCACCGAAAACACCACTATGTGCCAAACCCACCTCTCTGGGCACCGAAAACACCGCTATGTGCCAAACCCACCTCTCTGGGCACCGAAAACACCGCTATGTGCCAAACCCACCTCTCTGGGCACCGAAAACACCACTATGTGCCAAACCCACCTCTCTGGGCACCGAAAACACCGCTATGTGCCAAACCCACCTCTCTGGGCACCGAAAACACCACTATGTGCCAAACCCACCTCTCTGGGCACCGAAAACACCGCTATGTGCCAAACCCACCTCTCTGGGCACCGAAAACACCGCTATGTGCCAAACCCACCTCTCTGGGCACCGAAAACACCACTATGTGCCAAACCCACCTCTCTGGGCACCGAAAACACCACTATGTGCCAAACCCATCTCTCTGGGCACCGAAAACACCACTATGTGCCAAACCCACCTCTCTGGGCACCGAAAACACCACTATGTGCCAAACCCACCTCTCTGGGCACCGAAAACACCGCTATGTGCCAAACCCACCTCTCTGGGCACCGAAAACACCGCTATGTGCCAAACCCACCTCTCTGGGCACCGAAAACACCACTATGTGCCAAACCCACCTCTCTGGGCACCGAAAACACCGCTATGTGCCAAACCCACCTCTCTGGGCACCGAAAACACCGCTATGTGCCAAACCCACCTCTCTGGGCACCGAAAACACCACTATGTGCCAAACCCACCTCTCTGGGCACCGAAAACACCACTATGTGCCAAACCCATCTCTCTGGGCACCGAAAACACCACTATGTGCCAAACCCACCTCCCTGGGCACCGAAAACACCACTATGTGCCAAACCCACCTCTCTGGGCACCGAAAACACCGCTATGTGCCAAACCCACCTCTCTGGGCACCGAAAACACCGCTATGTGCCAAACCCACCTCTCTGGGCACCGAAAACACCACTATGTGCCAAACCCACCTCTCTGGGCACCGAAAACACCACTATGTGCCAAACCCACCTCTCTGGGCACCGAAAACACCACTATGTGCCAAACCCATCTCTCTGGGCACCGAAAACACCACTATGTGCCAAACCCACCTCCCTGGGCACCGAAAACACCACTATGTGCCAAACCCACCTCTCTGGGCACCGAAAACACCGCTATGTGCCAAACCCACCTCTCTGGGCACCGAAAACACCGCTATGTGCCAAACCCACCTCTCTGGGCACCGAAAACACCACTATGTGCCAAACCCACCTCTCTGGGCACCGAAAACACCGCTATGTGCCAAACCCACCTCTCTGGGCACCGAAAACACCACTATGTGCCAAACCCACCTCTCTGGGCACCGAAAACACCGCTATGTGCCAAACCCACCTCTCTGGGCACCGAAAACACCGCTATGTGCCAAACCCACCTCTCTGGGCACCGAAAACACCACTATGTGCCAAACCCACCTCTCTGGGCACCGAAAACACCACTATGTGCCAAACCCATCTCTCTGGGCACCGAAAACACCACTATGTGCCAAACCCACCTCTCTGGGCACCGAAAACACCACTATGTGCCAAACCCACCTCTCTGGGCACCGAAAACACCGCTATGTGCCAAACCCACCTCTCTGGGCACCGAAAACACCGCTATGTGCCAAACCCACCTCTCTGGGCACCGAAAACACCACTATGTGCCAAACCCACCTCTCTGGGCACCGAAAACACCGCTATGTGCCAAACCCACCTCTCTGGGCACCGAAAACACCGCTATGTGCCAAACCCACCTCTCTGGGCACCGAAAACACCACTATGTGCCAAACCCACCTCTCTGGGCAACGAAAACACCACTATGTGCCAAACCCATCTCTCTGGGCACCGAAAACACCACTATGTGCCAAACCCACCTCTCTGGGCACCGAAAACACCGCTATGTGCCAAACCCACCTCTCTGGGCACCGAAAACACCACTATGTGCCAAACCCACCTCTCTGGGCACCGAAAACACCGCTATGTGCCAAACCCACCTCTCTGGGCACCGAAAACACCGCTATGTGCCAAACCCACCTCTCTGGGCACCGAAAACACCGCTATGTGCCAAACCCACCTCTCTGGGCACCGAAAACACCACTATGTGCCAAACCCATCTCTCTGGGCACCGAAAACACCACTATGTGCCAAACCCACCTCTCTGGGCACCGAAAACACCGCTATGTGCCAAACCCACCTCTCTGGGCACCGAAAACACCGCTATGTGCCAAACCCACCTCTCTGGGCACCGAAAACACCGCTATGTGCCAAACCCACCTCTCTGGGCACCGAAAACACCACTATGTGCCAAACCCACCTCTCTGGGCACCGAAAACACCGCTATGTGCCAAACCCACCTCTCTGGGCACCGAAAACACCACTATGTGCCAAACCCACCTCTCTGGGCACCGAAAACACCGCTATGTGCCAAACCCACCTCTCTGGGCACCGAAAACACCGCTATGTGCCAAACCCACCTCTCTGGGCACCGAAAACACCACTATGTGCCAAACCCACCTCTCTGGGCACCGAAAACACCGCTATGTGCCAAACCCACCTCTCTGGGCACCGAAAACACCACTATGTGCCAAACCCACCTCTCTGGGCACCGAAAACACCGCTATGTGCCAAACCCACCTCTCTGGGCACCGAAAACACCGCTATGTGCCAAACCCACCTCTCTGGGCACCGAAAACACCACTATGTGCCAAACCCACCTCTCTGGGCACCGAAAACACCGCTATGTGCCAAACCCACCTCTCTGGCCACCGAAAACACCACTATGTGCCAAACCCACCTCTCTGGGCACCGAAAACACCACTATGTGCCAAACCCACCTCTCTGGGCACCGAAAACACCACTATGTGCCAAACCCACCTATCTGGGCACCAAAAACACCACTATGTGCCAAACCCACCTCTCTGGGCACCGAAAACACCACTATGTGCCAAACCCACCTCTCTGGGCACCGAAAACACCACTATGTGCCAAACCCACCTCTCTGGGCACCGAAAACACCACTATGTGCCAAACCCACCTCTCTGGGCACCGAAAACACCACTATGTGCCAAACCCACCTCTCTGGGCACCGAAAACACCACTATGTGCCAAACCCACCTCTGAGAATCTGGATCTGCTCGAACGTGAAATTGAACGCGAAGAATCCCTCCACCTCCTGCCCCTCTATGACCGCCGTTGACTTGAGTTGACTCAGCTCCGGGTGGTGTGCCACGTTCGTCACGAGGGTCAAATCTAGGTCGTTCCAGCAGATCAGCTCCGAGTCTGCCGTGCTGTTTGGGAGTGGTGGAGGGATGGGGGAAACCAGGAGGCAGAGAGTGAAGGGTAGATGGGAGGTAAGGGTAGATGGGAGTTCGCAAGAAGAGAGGGAGCTCTGTGCGGCACGTTCGTCATGAGCGTCAGATCCAAGTCATTCCAGCAGATCAGCTCCGAGTCTGCCGTGCTGGCCAGTGGGAGGAGTGTGGGGTGGGGGTATGGGGGAAACCAGGAGGCAGAGAGTGAAGGGCACACAGGAGCGTGGTGTACCCAAGAGTGGTGCGCCACGAGCGTCAGGTCCAGGTTGTTCCAGCAGATGAGCTCCAAGTTTGCTGTGCTGGTTACCAAGGGAGGGGGAGAAGGGGGGAGACGCATGGGCGCAGGGTGATTGGGTTGGGTTGGGAGTGGTGGGCCACTTATGACATCACGAGGATCAGGTCCAGGTTGTTCCAGCAGATCAGCTCCAAGTCTGCCGTGCTGGCCAATGGGAGTAGGGCCACGAGGGGGTGGTGTGGGAGCACAGGGCGAATCCGGAGGCAGAGAGTGGTGACAGGGAGTGGCGCGGCACATTTGTCACGAGCATCAGGTCCAGGTCGTTCCAGCAAATTAGCTTCAAGTCGACCGTGCTGGTTGTTGAAGAGGAGGGCGGGAAAGAAGCAGTAGAGGGAGGGAAGGAGGTGAGCAAGAAAAGTGGTTGCAGGAGGAGGTGTGCGGCTATGCTCTCCACTCCACCAACAGGTCTAGAAAAGTTTAACAGATGACCCTGCATACCACCCTTGCATACCACCCTGCATACCACCCTGCATACCACCCTGCATACCACCCTGCATACCACCCTTGCATGGACCACTAGATATCTGCAGATGAAGACAGACACACCCCACTGTAGTCACATCACACCCCCCTCACCAGATGACGTTGCATTTCACATAGTCCGCTCCATCCGCAATGGCCCTCTCATATCCCTTCAACGTGCTTTCAGGCATGAGCCATCTTGCATATGAAGACATACAATACATACCCACTGTAGTCACATCACACCCCCTCTCACCAGATGACATTGCATTCCACGTAGTCCGCTCCATCGGCTATGGCCCTCTCATATCCTTCCAACGTGCTCTCAGGCATGGGTCCCATGGCGCCCCTCCTGCCGATCACGATGGGGCGAGAGGAGGCTGCAAGGGGATGGAGAGAGGAAGGGTGGGAGGGTTTGGGAAGCGGGGGATATGGGGGTGTGGTTGAGGGGGGAAGCAAGACGAGTAAGGATTTCATCCCCCAGCGTGCTCTCAGGCATGGGAACTATGGCGCCCTTCCTGCCGATCACGATGGGGCGACTGGAGGCTGCAAGAGTGTGGATAAGGGGAAAAAGGGGGAAATGGAAGGGTGGTTGGTTGAGTGGGGGAGCAAGACGAGTAAGGGTCCCATCCGGCAACGTGCTCTCAGGCATGGAACCCATGGCGCCCCTCCTGCCGATCACGATGGGGCGAATGAACGCTGCAAGGGCGGAAGTGGGGAGGGGTGGGTGGGGAGGAGGGGGCGGGGTGTTGGGTGTCAGGAAGAGTGGGATGAGCAGAGCAAGAACAGAGGAAAGAGTTTGTCCCATCCCCCAACGTGCTCTCAGGTATGGGGCCCATGGCTCCCCTCCTGCCGGTCACGATGGAACGACTGGATGCTGCAAGGAGGAAAGGGGTGAAACGGGGGGGTTGGGGGCAAGGGAACAAGTGGGGATGAAGGGAAAGGGGATTGTGAGGGGAGTCGAGAAAGGAGGCGATGGAGGAAGATGCTGGATACGCTTCGTGCCACATGCATGTACACACGTTCCGATATTAACCCAGGCTGGATACGCCTCCTTACGAAGTGGCTGCATGCACACACGCTCCGATATGTATCCAGGCACGCACAGACGTTCGATACGTGGCCACGGACACGCGCGAATGCAGCCACTCTCACAACTTTGCCCAAATGGACCAGCAGGCACGGACTGAGCAGCAATAGCATGCGGTCCCAAATGGAGTCCGAGCAGCACTAAGACGCAATCTAAATCGCACTGCTTTTGAGTCGTCCCAAAAGTCGTCTGATTTTTGAAGTCTCAAAAGTCGTCTGCTTTAGAGACGTCCCAAAAATAGCATGCGGTCCCATATGGAGTCAGAGCAGCACTAAGATGCGGTTTAAAGAGCACTGCGGACAAGAACTCGTACCTGACACTCTTACTCCGCCATGCGACAGTGTGAGCAATCGTTTAACGCGAGCAATTGTTAGGACGTCGCACAACGCGTACCTGACACTCTAACTCCGCCATGCGACAGTGCGAGCAGCAGCAGAGGCAGAAGCGACAGTCGCGCGGGCGAAGAGCAGCCCATTGCGAACGACTGTTGTGATGTACGACGCTAACCAATCCCTAACGAAAAAATGTGCGATCTTCAGGCATGGTAACGGAAACCGAGTGGCTAGCCTATTTCGTCGGGCCAAACAACATCGTTCTTCAAAGTAACGCTATATCATACTGCCTCGAGGCACCTCTTGTTATACGCTAAGGTGATATTATTGTCAAATCCGAGCGAATAAGTCCAGCAGAGCTGATGGTTCTGAACAATGAGCTAAGGCTAACGTGCAGCACTGTAAGAAACGAAGCTGAACGGGACTAAGGATGAATGGGCCAGTTAAACGGGATAATGGGCTACGACATAGTCGCCTGAATTATGTCAGGGCTCGGTCGTTATCATCTCAGTTGCTGCTGTACGGACTACCTGGAGCAGAGATAAAAAGACGGACGGTCGCCTCAGCTCAGGGAGTGGCTGCCAGGACGAGATCCTACTTGACAAAACGCAGCACATGGTAGGTGCCCAGAGGCTTGTGGCACGAAAACCTTGCATCAGGCACGAAAGCCTTTTAGTCAGAGCCTCACGAAATGTTACCCGTTGTCGTGAAGGCATTCCTAACTGTTGAGATGAGTTTGAAGTTTGACGGATCTCGTGGGTTGGAAGCGCGTCACAACCGACGCACAAACAAAAGCAGCCAATCACGCTGCACCTTGGGCAGGGTGTGGGAACTTGGCTTGCGCATTGTTCGAGGGCGAACCCATTTTTCAATCTAGACGAACGTCGCCAAGGGAAATTCAGGTGCGAACGACCGTGGTTACTGTCCTGGATTTCAGTACAGTATTCCTTCCTGGCGAAACCACCAGTCCATCACCCCCAATTTGCTTCATCCTGTCTTTCTCCTCCCATTTCAAACCACCCAAAACCTCCACAACTCCACCCCACTCCACTTCACTGCTCTATTCCACTCCACTGTATTCCGCTCCACTCCACCCCACCCCACTCCATCTGCCACAGCTTCGCTTCCTCATCCTTCCAGCAACAACCGCAGCACTGGCAGCATGCTGCTGCTACTCTGGCGGGTTGCATCACAAGCATAACGCGTTCCCGACTTCTGGACCCATGCTCTGTCTGGGTTTCAGATTCCGATTCAGCCGCCGCTGATCGTTGTCATCCCAAATGGCGGCTTCCGCTCCTCCCGCGTGCTCCCCTGTTTTCTCCGCAATCGACTGTTCCCGATGTGCTGGCTCGCCGCGTCGTGCCGCATTCACAACAGTGCAATTCGCATCGCGTCGTGGCAACATTGAAGGTACCCGAGCGGCTCTTGATGCTCCTAAAAAAATTAACATAGTAAAGCGTGGACCTCGAAAAATAACGATCCGCGGGGTGCGCAACGAGAACGGCGGAGGAAGCAGGCGCGCACATTGCGGGGAAGGCGGACGCGGGATTAGCGGAGGCGGAACAAGCGGATCGGAAAGTGGGGGAGGACCAAGTGGGCGGGAAGAAGACCCTGGGAGGGGTGGGGGGAGGGGAGATGATGATGGTGGCGATGGGGGCAACAGCAGGTCGGGGGGAACAGGGGGAAGAAGCGGCTCCGGCGGGCGTGGTTCAAGCGGATGGGGAGAGGAGGCCGGAGGAGAAGGCGGAGGGGACGCGTATCGGGTTACCACCGGCGCGCTTCTCCCGCTCCTCGACCATTTCCAGGCACGCGTCAGCCGCGCGTGGCAGATCCGCGCTCCCCCCGCTGCCTCCGCGCTTCTGCAGTCTGCCGCGCGCCTTCCGCCTCTGCTCCGCACGTCCGCGACGTCAGGCGCGCTGCTGGCGGGCGGGGACGTATGCGCGCAATGCATCGAGCTCGCGTCAGCTGGAGACGCGGCGCAGATCCGCGTCATGCGCGCAGATGCGGCAATGCCAAGCGACACGCGCAGAGTCGAAGCGGATACTCTCGGCCGCAGCAGCAGCGGCTGCGACAGCAGCAGCGACAGCAGGAGCGGCAGCAGCAGCTGCAGCACCGCCATATCAAGAGACGGATCTGGCAACGCGGCAGCAGGACCGGCACCTTCGTTCAACACGGCGAGATCCGTGCGAATGATGGTGTACGGCGCGTGCATATACGGGCCTGCGCTGCACGTGTGGTACCCCCTGGTGGAGAGGGCAGCGCCAGGGAGAAGCCTGGGTGCGACTGTGGGGAAGGTGCTGGCGTCTCAGGCTCTGCTGAATCCGTGCCTGATTGCTGCCGTGTTTGCGTTCAACTACGCGTGGACGGGACAGCTGCATGCATTGAAAGGTGCGTCACGTGTTGTCAGGCTTCTCGAAACTCGCTGCTCCTGTGTCTGCAATTCACTATGCGTTCATGGGTCAGCTGCATGCACTCAAAGGTGCGTCACGTTTTATCAGTCTCCTCCAATATTGCTGCTGCTGTGTTTGTGTTCCAACACACATGCACTGGCCAGCTTCATGCACTTCGTAACAAGAAAGGCTGCCGTTTTGGCTTCCCTCCCATCTTCCTCCCCTTCCTCCCCCTCACCCGCCTCCCATCCTCCCCGTTTCTCCTGCAATGTATTTTATATTTGCTTTTCCGTCCCGCATAACGTATCCATGCCCAATCCCCCACTCATGTCGCTTCTCGCCCATGCTCTTCACCCTGTCTCCTGAACCTAAATCTCAAACTGTCCTTTCTCCTGCAGACAAGTACCGGCGGGACTTCCTGCAAACGTGGCGGCGAGGGTGGCACTTCTGGCTGCCGGCCAGCTTTGCTTCGTTCCGCCTGGTGCCGCTGCACCTACGCCCCACCTTCTCCTCCGCCTGCTCGCTGCTGTGGAACTGCCACCTCTCCATGGTCACCATGCACCAGGTGCGTGCAGGAGGAAGGTTGAAAATCTTTGTGTCATAATTATGTGTGCTCTTGTTCCTTTGTACCATGGTCTGGAACTGCTCGCTGTGGTGGAACTGCCACATCTCCACAGTCACCATGCACCAGGTGCACCTCTCCCTGTCTTATTCAGAGTCGAGTTTAATCTTAACCATGCATCAGGTGCGTCTCGCCCGGTTGGATTCTTAGTCGACTTAAACTTAACCATGCACCAGGTGCGCCTCTCCCTGTTGTATTCTGAGTCGACTTGAACCTATGATCAAGCACCCAGGTGTGTCTCTCCCTGTTGTATTCTGAGTCGACTTGAACTTAAAATCAAGCACCCAGGTGTGTCTCTCCCTGTTGTATTTTGAGTCAATTTGAACTTATAATCAAGCACCCAGGTGTGTCTCTCCCTGTTGTATTCTGAGTCGACTTGAACTTATAATCAAGCACCCAGGTGTGTCTCTCGCTGTTGTATTCTGAGTCGACTTGAACTTATAATCAAGCACCCAGGTGTGTCTCTCCCTGTTGTATTCTGAGTCGACTTGAACTTATAATCAAGCACCCAGGTGTGTCTCTCGCTGTTGTATTCTGAGTCGACCTAAAATCCACCATGGTGTACGCAGGCCAAAGGATTGCAATCGAGGGATATGTGCGAGATCAAACTTCCTCTCCTAGTTGCATGTGCATTGGAAAAAAACAGGAGATGAGAATAATTGAAGCTGATGTCTTAAGGAGGGATGAGAATGATGTAAGACTTTGTGGCTGTTATTCTCTGTGATCGTAAGTATGTGCTTCTTGCACCCATCTCACCCCTCGCCCTTTGCAAGGTTGACCGCCACAGTAAAAACGACGGGGGCGCCATCATCGCGGTGGACGCCAACAAGTGATGCACCCATTATGTAATGACAAAATTATGATGTGGCGTTCATGTCCTGTATCGGACTGTTCTGCCTATAATTTCAAAGAATCATGATTTGTTCATATTGATAGACGGCTAAATCAAGGTTATGGAGCACATGAATAACTGTAGTGTGCTTTACACTGTAACGCGTACTACCTTGAAGACCAGACCTAGACCCAACCCAGAGAAAGCTCCCGAACTTTCCCCCTCACCTGACTGACACGCTCCATACAATCACAAGCACAGAAAGAGCCGTTGCTGGCTGGTCCCACGGGTCCAGGAGGTCGAATCACGATTCAGGATCTGTGCTTGTCTCGAGAATTCCGTCACGATCACATTTGCTGCCATCCCCCCACCTCGAGGTTGCCAATCTCCGCTTACCTTATTTCACCCCCCAACTTAGCACAAGATTATATTATCTACGAGGTAGTTTCCCCCTCCCCTAGTTTGTCGTTCGTCTCCGCATTTTCACCGTCAGGGCCAGCCCTCCGCTAAGTTGCATTCTCGTCGCCACGATTTGTTAGAAGGCGAGCCGCGGGTCCTGTAAAGTGGTTCGTCGAAGAATCATACCTGAAGCTGGATGAGAAGGTCTCAACCTTTTTTTGTAGGAACAAAAGTACTCTGTGAATTCACGAAAAGGAAGTCACTTATGAGCACGACGACTGAAGCCGCCACCGACTATTAGACACTATAGTACAGGCTCTCTGACATAGAATATATAATCTGACT